ACCTGACAATACTTGCACCTCCATTTTTCCAAGGGGCAACAGTGGCTCAGTCCAACTTCACGACTCCCACTGACGTCTGCTCCCGTTGTGTCCTTGGCCAGGCGGTTAACCCCACTTTGCCTGAATCCCCTGCTGTAAGATCAAGGCAGCTCATACTACTCAGACACCCTCCTGTGGACTCAGCACCTGCAGGAGGATCAGTGAGGGGTTGGTGCTTTTACTGCCCCTCCAACCCAGATATGGATTAAGGGAAAGAAAATTAATGGACTAAACATTATTCATTTCTAACATCCCCACAAGATATTCAAACAATATTTAGCAGAGAAAATATATTATAAAAAAACAAAAAACACTTGTAACTTGGTTTGAAAAGTGATTGGGTGAGGCCAAATGCTGATAATTATCCAATTTTCTCAGACACACACTGCAAAACAATACAAAAACAAGATGGCCGCCTATTTTTATGTCAAACGGTCCAAATAATATCAAGACATTTCAAAAGTTGACTTAATTTAATGTCTCTGTGATGTTGTCATTAAAACATTTGTTGCCCAGAGCGGTGTCCTCACAGACGAGAGCAGAGCCTCCCGGTCCAGACTCGACCTGCAGCCGGTGGGTCCAAGTCCACAAACCAGACCAATGTAACCAAGGACTCAGCTCACTAACACTGTACAAAATGAAAAAACCAAAGAAAGTTTTTATTTTCATATTCATCAGATGTTATTGCTTGGAATATATCGAAATAAGTGTTTACAAATCAATAGACGGGAGACAATAAACGGGAGCTTTTAAAACAGTCCCAGCAGGAGGCCAGTCCCTGTGCTTCTCAGAGTTAACAGGTCACAGGATCAGATTCAGTTTATTTGCCATTTGCAGTAAAACCCCATTGGAATACATGTGCAAAAGTCCCCAGTGTGCAGCAGACAAGTACATTAATAAAAAAAGTGCAGGAGGCCATCGAGAGATTGTTCTGAGTCAGAGGAAACCAGCTCAGAGACCCGAGAACTGGACTGGAGTATTTAACAATTATAGGAAAACTGCCCATGAAGAAATTCTACTTTGATACCTAATATAACGAGATAAACAACTCATATGCGACTTCTATATTTGCCTGTGGTTTGAGATCTTGCTCCATGGAAAGTCCTTCCTTAAAACTGCACACACACATTTCCTCATTACCCACAAATCCTCACAAACTCTTGATTAGCTCTAAACCAGTTCAGACCAGGACCACCAGGAGCACAGGGACAGAACATGGGCCTATAGAGAATTGACCATATTTTTAGACTGGCCTCATTTATCGTGTAGGTCTATTTCCACCGCAGTTAAAGAGTAAATGGACTCGGAGCTCCGTAAAGAGGATTAACCTTTGCTTTTGTTTTGCCCTGAGAAAAACCCACTGTCTGAAGAATGGGCTTTAAGTGGTTTATCCTTAAGCCCCAGCTCCGGTCAAAACAATCAAGTGTTTTTTTTTTTTTTTTTTTTTTTAGCACTGGCCAGAGACAAACGTATACAAATGTGTTGAATACTGTGATTATGTTTCATGAAGTTTTAAAGGAGCAGTATGTACAAATCTGGCCCAAAGTGGTACTGCAACCTTTCACATGCTCCCTGACTCAGGTTGCCAGATATGCAGACGAATCCAGCTGGGACCACAATAACTGAATAGACAGGAGTTTTGTGACTTGACATAAAAATCTTACAAATTGCTAGAAGAAGTTGCGCTCATGCTAATGTTTGCATATAAAACTAGATGGCTCCGTGGGATGAGAGCGTAGGGGAAATGAGAAGCCTGTGAGCGAGTTGGGGGGCGAGGCTAAACAATCAAACCTTGCAGAAACGGGTATAACGGGTATATAGGTCCTTTAACCTTTTCCTTGAGCCAGTCTTTGTCACTCCGGCCCCGTACTTAGAGAGTTTTAGTTTTACAACACGTTTTACAGTAAGGGAAGGCTCTTGTAAACTCCTCTTCCTCTCTCAAGTTTCCTCCTGCTTTTTCTTCTTTCATTTTCTTCTTTCTTTTGTTTTTCTGTGTTCTGTGGCTGCCCCCAGACCTCGTACGCCTCCTCTGACCTGTACAGCCTCAACGGTCTGTCCTCCTCCAGACCTGCTGCTGCCTATAACGGTTACCAGGTACACAACCATATCCAGTCACTCACTTAAAGCTGAGGTACCTAAAATGCAGCGTACGTAAAGCTTTTCGTTTTTTTTCCGTCAGAACAACCACAAATTCACGGCAAAAAGGGGATGCGAAAAAGCCGATCTAAAACACGAAGCCAGAAAAATTACTGAGAACCGAGTCAGACTGATTTTTGTTACATACAGTGTAGGGCAGTCTTGGGCTTTGAAATTTAAGTCCCCCAGCTTTAATGAAGGTGTCTGTTATGGTATGGTTGCTATAGTAACATTGTACAGACCTGACGTACTGGCTTAGATTTCATAATGAGGTGTTTTAACTGCACTTGCAAAGATTAAAGAACTAATTAAATGTGTTTTAAGTTACATTTTTTCTTTTAGAGTAGAGTATAGACTTTAAGGATATATTTGGATTCAATCCGGTTAAACTTGTCCATTATCTATTGTTAATTTTGCAAGGGGAAAAAAAAAACACATGGTAAATTTGCTTATTTTTGTAATCTTTCCCGTTGTACTTTCTCTTGCAAATACTACGTTTGTCTTAAGTGATTTTGTAAAATAAATAAAAATGTAAATCTGCTTCAAATGCATGTCCTCACTCGTGCACACGCCTCTCTGTTGCAGCCGGACCGTGCACTTTCTCAGATCTCTCAGCAAAACTCTCGGAGGGTTGGTCCAACATTTATCATCGTCACTAAAACATGTATTTAAGCGTAGAGAGGTGGTTTTACAGAGAGTTTAGATTTTATAATAAATAGTTCTTTTCCCAGTGGATACAAAAAACATGATTTGATCCAATGGCATCTGACGCTAATAATATGCACAAGAGAAAATGGACCTAAACCCTGACTTTTCTTAGTTTTCATACATTTATTTCAACTGTTTCATAACCAGTGAGAAATGTATGCTTCAAAACAGCATGTTAATCTTTTAGAACCTTTTTTAAAACCTTTTTTATTACAAGTTTCAAATGGAAAGTTTCCAAACATGCATCACATTCATAAGAAATGTTAGCGTTCCTGTCCCTACAGCTTTTGTGCCCAACATGCACAGTTAGACATAGTTGCGTTTTTATGTTCTCCCCGTTTCTATATAGGTTTCCTCCAGGTGCTCCGGTTTCCCATACCGCTAAAAACATGTACGATAGTTTCTCATAGCACCCTTCCCGACACCACTCCCTCCCCCACCCCTGAAATAGACTCTGTAATCTCAGTGGGACTATCCTATAAATAAAAGTAAATTAATACACATTGAATTTTGAAAGTTATTATTCCTCAAAATTTGCTTAAACCGGCTCCTGCCTATAACGGTTACCAGGTACACAACCACATCCACTCACTCACTTAAAGCTGAGGTACCTAAAATATATCGTACTTAAAGCATCTAGTTTTAGTTAAGTAAAGAATTACTCAAATTTGGCAGAATGTGTTAATTGTTAATCTGAGCCTAATCTGACTGAGCTTTAAAACAAGATTCCCCGATGAGACAAAGCAAAATGATGTAGTTTTAGAAAGATACGAGAAATGCCTCCCTTGCAATGAGGAAATAAAGGTACAGTTGCTTAAAAAACTTTTATTTATTTAAACTTTTGATTTGAACCATAGCCATAGTTTCAGACCGTTCCAGGCCTAATGCTATAACTACAGATTTCTGTCACATATTTTCTTGTCCTTTCTCTTGCCGCTCTAACGTCACAGTTTGCAGTTTTATGAAAGTCCCTCAGATTACCGTAATATTTCAGTTTGATGTCTTTGTCTCTGTGACTGTGCAGAGCTCTCTGTATGAAGACGGTCTGTGTAGCAGCTCCAGGAGAACCTCTGCTCAAGTCGTAAGTCTCCGAACAAAACACCGCTTTGTTTTGATCTGGACTGGAATTTTGTCCCACTCTTCACTAACCGGCTGTTTTCACTGCCTCTCCGCACGCAACAGTTTATTTGTCTCGCGCTAAGAAATGATAAATCTACTTATTGTGGCCGTTTAATCTTATCTAACAGATGCCAAATGTAAAAGTAAGTTTGTGTCTTCCGGTTACTTACAAAATCGGTATTGTTACTTACAGTATATCACTCATTTTATAACTGTATTTGGTCATAAAAGGAGTAATATAATTGACTTTTTACCATTTTTTTATCCCATGTTACGCCGTTGTTCTGTAAAACCTGGAGTTGTTTTAAGATCCATCCACGCTTGTATCAGGAACTTCTATAACGTATAATTATTCCCCTCCGGCAAATCACTCTGGACCTTGTGCCTTTTGAAACTCCTACTTTTCTGATTGTGGTTTGTGTCTTTGGATGAAATAATAGATGAATTATGGCATGGATTAGTGTTGTTGGCCTGAGGTGAATTTGAAAACACGTTCTGCTCTGGTCTGATTCGTGCATGGAGTGAGTTTAAATATGTTTTGGGAGTGACTTCACGTGTTTTGACTGTTTGTTTGTATGTCTCTGCATGTAGTAGATTTTCCCTCAGGTTGTAGTGGTTTGGCGATGTAATACTAGCACTATATACCGTGAGTTTACAATAACACATATTCTGATATTGCTGAAATTGCATCTAAAATATCTCTTGATACAAATGAAACGTGCTGCTAATGCGGAGTGTGTAAAAGTCTGTTTCCAGCATGCTTTAGTCCAGAGACATCAAATTTACAAATCATTTCCTCTGCAGCCTTTAGAATACAGCAGCTATCGAAGCTCAGGGTCCAGGACTTCCTCTCGAGCCTCGTCCAGAGCCGGATCTGCCCGGACCAGTCCCGTGGTGAGAGCCCAAAGCCCCCTGGTCCAGCACAGACCCAGGGGGGACCAGTCCATTGTGTTGTGAATATTCATGCAATCACTTTTTGAATGATGTCGAAATATCAGAGGAAATCTATGTTGACCTCTTTTATCTTGGGATTTGGCTCGTTTTTGGAAAAGTTGGGAAGATCCAGATTTTTTCAAGTTTGATCCCGACACTTTGACTTACAGTCCGGCCGATACGCGATATGGACAGATTCCAGTGAAGTTAGTGTTTTTAAAGAAATCTCAGCTAATGTATTACAAATCTGTCTAATTCTGTTATGAACTACTTGGCCTTGCGAAAGAATTAATACACTCTGATCTTCTGCGCATTATGATGGTGTTTCATATTTTACTGAAAGACCACAACAAAGAATCAAACGACTGTAGTGAAAGCAAAAGTGTCAATTTAAAAAAATAGAAAAATCTCAAATCAATAGCTTTTCTTCCACAATTTTCTTGCATTTTCCTCCGTCCATCTTCCCATCAACTGACATTTTCCCTGTCCCTGTGAAGAAAATCCCTGCCAATGTCACTTTTAAAGATCATATACAAGATGTTTTACTTTTCTACTGCTTACTACTTCATTTCCTGTCTCTTTGCACACCCTGAAGCCGTAACTTGTACTGTATATTTCTCCATCGTGAGATCAAACAAACCACCGATTCTAATGATCTGTGTTGTTTTGATCAAGTAATATTCCCTGAAATGAGAGGTTACTTACTTACTTTTATTTGTTTACTCAATCCTGACCTTTAAGGCGGCCTCCACTTATGGTTAGCGTCAAACTAATCTCTGAAGATAAGACTGTGTTGGTTTAAGTCTTGGCTCAGTTTGTGTTAGAAATATTTCTCTGGCAGTAAAAGGGTGTTTCTCACTCGACCTGTTCAAATCAGAACAGAAGGGGAATTTATTAAGTATTTTATTTTCAGTTAAGTCGTAAAAACACCTGCTCCGTGGATACAGGTGTATAGATTAGCACTGCTGCTAAAACCTGAATGCCTCTCTCCTTTTGGCCAATGTTTATCGTACACTGTCTCTAATACATAAAAACCATAATTCTCACAGTGCAAATGGGTGCCAGAAATACAAATTGGTGATAATAATTACTTCTGTATTCAATTTCAATTATTTATTTTTGCATGGACCTAAATCACAGCAGCAGACGTCTCGGGGGACTTTACAAAGCTGTCGATTCGCCAACAGAAGATCAGATGACAAATCAAATGACAAACATGTAGGAGCCATTGGCCTCTAGGGGGCCATAAATGTAAATAAATGATCAATCGGCCCATTTAGAACTTGTATATTTTAAAATCTATGACTTATTTTGGTATACAGTAGAGCAGTGTTACCCAACCTTTTTTGACTCATTGTAAATAATCACATGGCACACCTACCAAAAGTGGTGGAACTGATGTAAAAATCAAACTTCAATGAGAATGACTTGGATTGGTTAGAAAATCTGCAAATCTAGAACTTCAAAGAAAATTAGTCAAGCGCAAAAATAGGCTTTCCAGGCTTTTTAAACAATTTTATTCAACAATTTTTTTAGCAATTAGGTGATATTGGATCATTTCTAAAGGCATATCAAAGGTACGCTAACCTACCAGGGTACACAATGGAAAAACACTGCAGTAGAAGAATCCCTGTGTGCTTTTATTTCAGAAACACCACATTCTTTTATTATGTCTTCCTCGTGCATCTATGTTTTACTGTGACATATAAAATACTTTGGGAGCAGTCTCTAAAGGCCTTGTGTTGTGTGACTGCGCCCTCTGCTGGATCCTCAGGACAACAGCAGCAGCTCAGTGGCCAGTTATCTGAGGAGTGCAGTGAGCAGTGGACTTCGAGACCTGGACGATGTCACGATCCCAGACTTTGCAGATGTGAGTTTTAACGAACAAGACGATGGATTTGAGTTTTTGTCTTGAGATTTTTGAGCTGAGAGCATGGATGCATCGAACTCACCCCCGTGTTTTTGAATCCTCAGTAATGAAACTCATACCGTGTGACTAAGTATTTCGAAATGGCTATATCAAAGTTTTTCTCAGTTTCTTTTACAGAACCTAAAAGTCAATGCAATCATGTACAACATACACACAATTTCTGCAATATATAAAACTTGCCAAAATGAGTTTGTTTGCTTGTTTAACATTTGTATTTATTCTGTTGTAAATATGTAGGACCAGATAAGTACTTGTGTTTGTGCGAGAAAATGTAAAACCAAAGGAAGTAAAACAATAATATATGAAGAGGTTCTATAAATGTATTTTCTTACGTCCACTGATTTTTGTTGTTGGAAAAAACTAGTTTAAACATACTCTAACATGGGCTGAGCAGTTACCTTTCTCTCTCCTCAGCAAGAAGGTCCTGGGTTCGAATCCCGGTCGCAACAGGGTCTTTCTGAGTGTAGTTTGCATGTTCTCCCCGTGTCTGCGCAGGTTGCCTCTGAGTGCTCTGGTTTCCCCTACCACTAAAAAAATTTAGAATAGTCTGAATGTAAAGAATGAATGATGGTGTTTGGTCGGAGGTTTTGATGGACCAGTGTTTTCAGGTCTTGCTTTCATCATATTGGAAAATATGATCATTGAACTCTGGAACTCTGATCATTGCTTTGAGTCAGTACCTTTGTCTATAAAATGCACTATATACATATATACTTACTTACTTACAAATAATGCAAGTGATGGGTAATTTTTTTGCGTGACTGAAACCGTTACAAACTACTCATTCTTCCCTCCATCTCCTAAAAAATTACACATTTTTAATTAACTTCAATCTTTGTCGATACCTGAAATGAACCGACACCAGTGAAGAGACTGACCGTGCAGCTGAGATTTGAGGGAAACAAACTTATTACAAATTGGTCTAACTGTGATTTAAGCTACATGCTTTCAAATGCAGCCATATCCTGTCAGACCTCTCTGAAGCTAAGCAGAACAGGGCCTGGTCAGTACTGTGATGGGAGACCTCCAGGAACACAAAGTGTCACAATCGGGTGGCTGCGGCTGTAAAGTGCCAAACTGTGGTTGTGTCCTAAGGCAAGACACCCTCCCCACATTAGAGTGAATCTGGTTTGTGTGTGAATGGTTGGGGGGGTGGGAGGGGCCAATGGCACGGACTGGTTGCCTTGCTTCTGTCACTGTGTCCCAGGGCATCTATGACTACAGTAGAAGTTTATCACCAGTGTGTTTGGAGAGAAAGATTATATTTCAGTTTGTTAATTACTTGTGTGATTTTAATTGTGTTCTTAATGGTGATTTGGTCTTTGTTTTATGTGATGATTTGTGCTTTGTGTGGTGTGGACTGTGAGGCGCTTTGTGTTGCCCTGTGTTCAAAAAACGCTCTATAAATAAATATTGATTGATTGATTTTAATCAGGAACATCTCACTGATATTGCAGAATCTTTTTCAGAGGAGTCCTGGCTCCAGAGAGAGGGTCTTTTAGTGTCCAACAAATGCTGTGTAAAACTGTTTTTCTATTTATTATTATTAATGTAACTGTTGATCAGAAAGTCCAAGTTAAACCTAATATTTGTGACATTTTGGGCTAATATCTGCCAGTAAATCAGCATAAAGGCCTTCTCAAGATATGGACTGAACCAATATCATCAAACCGTACTCGATCCAACAATAAATATGATATCGACCCCAATATGCAATGGATTTTTGTTGTGGATTTATCCCTAGTTTGGTGTTAGTGGCTACACATCAGTTGATCTAATCCCAGGGTTAATCTCATCATTCATTCGACTGTCAGTTTGTTGGTTTAGTTTTGGACTTTGTCACTTGCTGAATGTTGCTGTGGTCTTGGTTTTTAAGTTTGTGAGAAATGACTTCAGTGTGTAACTGTGCTTTCTTTTGACAGGTGGAAGACGGCAGCTATCTAGAAAAGGTATCTGCTCCGCTTGATTATATCACTGTTTGAAGTGTGTTTCTTACTGAATCATGGATGATGTCACTCTGCTGCAGGGGTCTCGAGCCGCCTCCGCCCTCACAGCCTCCACCCTCACATCTTTAGGCGGGACGTCCTCCAGGAGAGGCAGTGGAGAGACAGCCCTGACTCTGGACGCTGAGACCTCTATACGGGAAATCAAGGTAAAGTTTCAGTCAAATGAAGTAGAGTTGGATAGATGTGTCTCTTTTCAACAGTTCAAAGACAGGAGAACAGCAAAGTTAAACATTTTATGAATGAACAGCGGCTCTTTTATTGGATGATACTTATATTGTCAAAAAATTGTCTATATTCAATATCCCTGCCCTGGGTGAATCTTTATTCAAAAAGTGTAATAGAAAAATAGCAAATATGCTGTAATTACAGAAGTCTCTCAGACGTTGTTGAGCTGCTCTGGCTTTTGTCACAATAGTTATTATTAGTTTTGCTCCCCAAGCCTCTCCTTGTTTGTAAATCTCTTCTCATTATTCATTCTTTCATTCATTCTTTCATACTTCTGCCTCTGTCTCACGCTGCTGCTTTGGCCTTCACTGCTCTGCCCCCTGCAGGAGATTCATGAGCTGAAGGATCAGATCCAGGACGTGGAGTCAAAGTACAACCAGAACCTGAAAGAAGCAAAGGTATTTCAGCCTCACATCTGCAGCGTCCTGATGCTCTCTCCTTCTGCTCTGCTCGCTTCATACGACTCACTGTCTGTTCTCTGCACCGACCTGACTTTGGTCTTTACAATCAACAGATATAACTACTATTACCGTATTAGGATCCGTTTGTGTCCGCTCTGTCGTACAGGGATTAATCAAAACAAAGGAAGGTCCCTCCCCATCATCTGTACTTCAGTTAGCATCATCTGTACTTCAGTTAGCATCATCTGTACTTCAGTTAGCATCATCTGTGCTTCAGTTAAGTTAGCATCATCTGTACTTCAGTTAGCATCATCGGTACTTCAGTTAGCATCATCGGTACTTCAGTTAGCATCATCGGTACTTCAGTTAGCATCATCGATACTTCAGTTAGCATCATCGATACTTCAGTTAGCATCATCGATACTTCAGTTAGCATCATCGGTACTTCAGTTAGCATCATCTGTACTTCAGTTAGCATCTTCTGTACTTCAGTTAGCATCATCTGTACTTCAATTAGCATCTTCTGTACTTCAGTTAGCATCATCTGTTCTTCAGTTAGCATCATCTGTTCTTCAGTTAGCATCATCTGTTCTTCAGTTAGCAGGTTTTCCAACTCCTAAGAGATTGGCCTCAAGAGTTGATCCTGAGGCCAACTCTTTAATACATCTAAAGTCTGCTAAGATGTTGTTGGGAGCAGGTCTAACGATCCTGCTAGATCTAACGATCCTGTTGGGTCTAAAGTAAGTAGTAGTAAGTAGTAGTAATCTTTATTTATATACCGCCTTTTCACTGCAGATCTGAGTCTCAAAGCGGTTTACAATTGTTAATTTTTTTGGGCATTTGTCTCTCACTCCACACAGAGATGGGAGCAGGGGCCAGTACAGGAGGCGCATGCTAGAACTATTGGACATATTTTTAGTGGTAGGGGAAACCGGAGAACCCGGAGGAAACCTACGCAGACACGGGGAGAACATGCAAACTCCACTCAGAAAGGCCCTGGTCCTAAAGAGCCTACCTCAGTGTCACCGATCATATCTATTGTTTGGGCGACGCGATGAGATAGGATCGTTAAACCTGTACTCTACCCGAGTAATCTCAGCAGGACAATAGTGACATGCTAATGGGGTAAGATCGTTTGACTTAGAAGGATCGTTAGACCGGCTCCCAACCACATTTTGGCGGACTTTAGATGTGTTTATGAGTTAGCCTCAGGATCAACCACATCCACAGGTTTTACATCTTCAATTTGCGGCTGAGCTTTCATTACCTTGAGAAAGTTCTTTGGATTAAGGATGTAACGTCAGAAAACCTGCTAACTGAAGCACAGAAGATGCTAACTGAAGCACAGAAGATGCTAACTGAAGCACAGAAGATGCTAACTGAAGCACAGATGATGCTAACTGAAGCACAGAAGATGCTAACTGAAGCACAGAAGATGCTAACTGAAGCACAGAAGATGCTAACTGAAGCACAGATGATGCTAACTGAAGCACAGAAGATGCTAACTGAAGCACAGAAGATGCTAACTGAAGCACAGATGATGCTAACTGAAGTACGGACGATGTTGAGAGACCTTCCTCTTTTTTCAATTAGTTTTATGAGCATCTTAGAATATAGATGCAGACTACAAAGCATGCCAGAGCGTAACACAACAAAGGGGAGTTACACACTTATTAAGCCCTGAGTAAGCTGCTGTGAGATCTGAACTACAAAAACAACCAAACCTATCACCATATTCTGCAGGACAAACTCGCGGAGGTGGAGGAGAAGTACCGTAAGGCCATGGTGTCCAACGCACAGCTGGACAATGAGAAGAACAAGCTCATGTACCAGGTGGACACGCTCAAAGACTCTCTGCTGGAGCTGGAGGAGAGCCTCGCCGAGTCCAGACGACAGTACGACGACAAGGCCAAAGTAAGGACACTATAGACTAGAACTACTCAATGTATCGCAATATGTGTGGTCGTGATCTGCAAATGTCTATTGTGTGAATTTATATTTTGGAATTTATTACATAGATACATTGATAGATAGATACCTTATTGATCCCTGGAGGAGAAATGCAGGTGTCCAGTAGCAGCAGAAACACATCCATCCAAACACACAAAACAAATAGATTAAAGAGATCATTCTAAAAAGCTAACAAACTTAACAATAAAATGCAACAGCAGTACAGGTAGATCAGACGCTTGTTTTGGACCATTTTTTTCTGCTCCGGTTCCCACTAAAATGCTAAATGCTTTATTCGCATTTTTCCAAAAGTTTGCATTCCCCCAGTGGATTTTGACCTTATCCAGTTGGTTTGGACAATGAATCATCTCCGCCCTGTAAAACGAGGGTTACGTATGTAACCACGGTTCTATGAATCCCGGATGACCGCCAGAGGGCGGTGCATAGCACTGAATGTTCCCTTCGCGCATGCGCAGTTCGAGTAATAATACCAAATGAGTCACACCTGTGACCCCCTGGGTGACACACCGGAGGTAATAAAGTCCAGCGTCATCCAGCACTCTGTTCCTGCAGAATCTTCTCGCGGATGCAAGGACCCTGAGTGACAGAGCGCCTCTGGCGGTCATCCGGGATTCATAGAACCGTGGTTACATACGTAACCCTCGTTCTATTTCATCCCTTCAGACCGCCAGAGGGCGGTGCATAGCACTGAATGACCTTATACCAGCTATGTCACGAACGAACTTGACCACACACCTCACGGAGGAGAGCCAGAGGATTCCTGAAGGACCACGCCAAGAGGAGCCGGAGTGGCCACATTGATGTTGTAGAATCTGGTGAACGTGCTTGGTGTAGCCCAAGACGCAGCAGCACAAATAGTTCCCAACGGCACCCCGCGCATAGCGGCCCAGGAGGTAGGGATACCCCTGGTAGAATGGGCCCTCACCTCGGCTGGCGGGTCGCGGCCGGCCGAAACATACGCCTGACTGATAACGTCAACCACCCAGTGGGAAAGGCGTTGCTTCAAAAGTGGACTTCCCAGTCTAGCACCACCATAAGCAACAAAGAGCTGGTCTGAGCTCCTCACACCAGCCGTCGCAGCAACGTAGGCCTCCAATGCCCTCACAGGGCACAGCAGGTGCAGTCTGTCCTCACCCCCATCCAGGGGGGACACAAACCGCGCCAACCTCAAAGGCCGGTTACAATAGTCACGGGAAAGCACCTTAGGGAGGAAAGTGGGATTAGGCCACAAGACCACGCCAGCCCTCTTGGGATCCCAGTGTAGGCATGAGGGACTGACAGAAAGTGCATGCAACTCACCAACCCTGTTTGCAGAGACCACAGCCAACAGGAAAGCAGTTTTATAGGAGAGCCACTTGAGGTCCGTTCGGGCCAATGGCTCATACGGAGGGCGGCAGAGAGACTCCAACACCAAGGCCAGGTCCCAAACCGGAGACCGTGCGGGCACGCGAGGGTGCAGCCTACGAGCTCCGCGTAAAAAGAGAGACACCAGGTTATGGCCCCCCACAGTACAGTTATCAACCTGGCCATGATAACATGAAATAGCAGCAACATATACCTTCAGAGTAGATGGGGCCCGACCTTCATCCAGGAGAGACTGAAGGAATTCCAGGACAACCGCCACCGGGCACGACATGGGATCCCGACCGCGGGAAGAACACCAGCGGGAGAACAACTTCCACCTGTTCTCATACAGCCGCCGAGTAGAGGCCGCCCTGGCATTCAGGAGTGTACGCCTGACAGGGCCAGTGACATCGAGCGCCCGCAGCTCGGGCCAGCCAACGGCCATACCCATAACTTGAGGCGGTGAGGACAGGGATGACCCCACGTGACAGGAGACCCCGGTCCCTCCATGGAGCCAAAGCACGAAAACATGCCCACGTCACCTGTAACTGTCTGTGGCGGTGACGAACGGCATCCAAACGAAACCCGTTCAGCCACCTCTGCAAGGGGCGAAGCGAAAGCAGCCCGAGTGGAACCACACGAGAGATCGAGGCCAGCTTCCCCACCAGCTGTAGAAAGCTGACGTAACTGCGCAGGGTGCCAAGACCGAAACGGGACACCACACCGTGGATGTCGACCAGGCGGCGCACCGAAGTACGCGCCGTCATAGTCACCGTGTTCAGACTCGGGCCAAGAAAAACAGCGGCCTGCGAAGGCACCAGGCTGCTCTTTTCGAAATTGACCCTGAAACCCAAGCGGGCGACATGAGTCAGAAGGCGCTCCGTATCTTCCAAGGACCGTGCCCTGGACGGAGCGCAGATCAGCCAATCGTCCAGATAAGGCAACACCTTCATGCCACTGGCCTGCAGCGGAGCAAGAACCGCCTTCACGCATCGAGTGAAAACCCTCAGAGAGAGAGAGGCCAAAGGGAAGAACCCTGAACTGCCAGTGAACGCCCCGATAGGCGAACCGGAGGAACCGCCGGTGGGGCTGCGCAATGGGCACGTGAAAATACGCGTCCCTCAAATCTATGGACGTGAACCATTCCCTGGCCCCAACAGTCTGAAGGACTTCCGCAGTCGTCAGCATGCGAAACGGAATGACCTTCAGGAAATGAAGGCACAACAAAAGCAGGAGACGAACCACCACGCCTGAAAAAAGCACTGCCAGGGTCAGCCTGTCCCGACTGGGGAAGTTCCTGCAGACGGGATAAGGCCCTGCGAAGAACCTCCTGCATTGAGCCGTCACCAGACCGGCTGGGCACACTATGCGCGGAAGAATAAGCATCGTCCCCCGAAAGGGACCGCGCGTCATCCTCGTCCCGGAAGCACGAAGCAGATGCCGCCAGAGAAAGCACATCCTCTGCCGGATGGAGGGATGGCATGGAGCAAGAACCAGCCCCAGAGACGGCATCAGCAGCACAACGTGCCTGGAATGCGGATTTCATCGCCTCCAACTCTGCAGATAACTGCTCCACCCTCGACACCAGGACAGCATCCGGCTTGGCCTGCTTGGAAGGACCATGGCCATCAGACCGCTCCCCTGAAGCACAGGCCTCAGCACGGCGCTTAGAACGCCGAGGGGGCGGAGCCACAGCAGGTCCCACTGGCAAACTACCACCGTCGCCAGACAAAGGCAGCTGAACCAGCCTCGCCACCCTAACAGCCCAGGGCAAGCAGCTGCAGTTCATGCACGGGTTATCGGACACTGCCTCCCTCAAGTGAGTGGGGCCGAGGCACGCCGGACACAAGTCATGGCCGTCATCAACATCGAGTGCTGACCCGCAGCCCACACACGCATGTGACCCGTCCATAACAACCAGGTTTTTATTTTTTTATTATTATTATTTTTTTTATTTTTTTTTGTCTTCTTCTTTAATTCAATATGTAATTAATCCCAAACGGTATTCAAACTGCAGAACCAAATTAACGTACTGCAGTTTCACAACAGAAAAACCAAATATAGCACGGTGGAGGAGAGGGCGCGCGAACAGCAGCCTTCACACCACACAATACACCGGCCACAGAATAAACACAGGCAGCAAATGCTAACCCAAACAAGAACTGATGGAGGAGCGGGACAACGAACCGCAGCCTTCACACCACAGAGGACACCGGTAGCATAAACTAACCCAACTAAGAACTGATGGAGGAGCGGGACAACGAACCGCAGCCTTCACACCACAGAGGACACCGGTAGCATAAACTAACCCAACTAAGAACTGATGGAGGAGCGGGCTAACGAACCGCAGCCTCACACCACACAATACACAGTTAGCAAAAGCTAACTCAAACATGCACAGGCGGGGAGGAGCAGGCCAACGAACTGCAGCCTTCACACCACGAAATGCATGTACTAAAAGAAAGTACTGACGGAGGAGTGGGCGCCACAGCAGCCTTCACACCAACCAATACACGCGTATATAGACAGAAAACACCAATAAATACCCGAAGGACAACGTCACCGTCGCGCCCCACGGAGGGCGAACCGCAGCTCCGATGAAGAGAGCTTTCAGCGACAGACGTTGATGAGGTTCAAGCAGCAACGATTCGAACCGCACGCGAGAAGAAAAAAGGAACAGAGTGTTGGATGACGCTGGACTTTATTATCTCCGGTGTGTCACCCAGGGGGTCACAGGTGTGACTCATTTGGTATTATTACTCGAACTGCGCATGCGCGAAGGGAACATTCAGTGCTATGCACCGCCCTCTGGCGGTCTGAAGGGATGAAATAGAACCATGAACAGTGTACTGCAGCAACATCTCAGGTAGAAAAAAAGCAATAAAAATAACAATTGTAATACACAAAACAACAGTTGACTAGTTGCCGTTTCCAGCGCATTAAAAAGCATTAAGATTTTTTGACATGCTTTTATATCTATTTTTTACTTTTCATAACTTATGTACCATAATGATAAAGTATCTCATGCAATGTTCTTGTCTTTCCTCACAGGACTTTGAGAGGGAGAAACACACCCACACAGTTCTACAGTTCCAGTTTAATGAACTCAAAGAGACTCTAAAACAAAGTGAAGACCTGCTAAATGTAAGTTCTGTCACAATTTCATCAGGAACCAGCACATTTCTGCACAAAGCACATGTGTAAGGGTTGGCGGTGCTAGCTCTAAGTAGCCTAACCAGGAAGTGCTCAAGCTTCAACTCCTTTCACTTATATGGGACAGACCAGCACCGCTCCCGATTGGCTCGTTGGTTGCTGGGTCGTTGCTATCTAAAGATGGTGCTCCACAGATTCCCACCGATGGAGCCTGTTTAAGTTAGCGCTAGTCAAAAGAAATGCTGTCGGCAAAGTCAGCGCTCGTCCCACTCCTTCTACAGGTTGTGGCCCAAATACCTGTATATCGCCTCACCCTTCTGTCCAAATGCTACTTTCTCAAACTTGGTATGCTAATATGAATCCTGGCGTAGACTGAGACCTAAATGATTTATTTTGCTTAAACTATTTACAATGTTTGGGAGAATACTTGAGAATGTACTGGATGTGCAGGATACTGTAAAATACATTATCTTCTGTCTTTGTAATATTCCACTTCCTTCCATTGCATGAACTGTATTTTTTCTTTCTCTTTTCCCACACTTTCTTTCCCTTTTTTTAACCACTCCAGGAAATCCGTCAACTGCGAATAAAAGAGGAGGGTTTTCACAGAGAAATCTCAGATCTACAAGAAACTGTGGACTGGAAAGATAAGAAAATCTCGGTATTGTCCAGTGCTGTGTTTACTCTGGGCTGAGAATCTAAACTGTGTAGTTTTATTGTATCATAATTTAATTACAAACATTTACATCTTTCACCCAACAATTGCTCCGAGCTGAGAGCTTCACTCTAGTCCTCCATATTGTAATGGAGGACTAGGTAATGGTGTTGCCATGATATAAAGATATTCTAACTGCTGGGTTGTTTAGCAATGATGTTAACAGTCTACTACTAACAGCAACCAAACTAACGAGAGGACACGGGTTTATTGAAAGTTATAGAGAGTTATAAAGAGTATAGATAAATACTTTATTGATACCTTTAGGAGAAGGGCAGGTGTCCAGCAGCAGCAAAAACACATTCATTCAAACAAACAAAACAAATAAATATATAATTATAAAAGTAGCTAACAATAGTAATAAGGTCACAGCAACCACTTGGTTTGGACCATTTTCTCTGCTCTGGTTCAAAGTAAAATGCTGAATCCTTAATTAGCATTTTTCTAAAAGTTAGCATTCCTCCAGTGGATTTTCGTGTGATCCTCTTGTTTCGGATCATGAATCCTCTTTGTCTGGTCTGGACCAATATAAAACCATGAACACTGTACTGCAGCAAAATCTCGGGTAGAAAAGCAAGAAAAAAAACAATTGTAAAACATAAAACAACAGTTGTTTCAGAGACACTTAGGACTTGCTGCTGTTTATGTGTTCATATGACTGGGACAGCCACAGGAGTATTTAACATCTGTCTCCCTGGACCCATGTTTGAAAATGATTTCTTAAACAAAGAAGGAAATATTTGTCTATTTTGGCTGTACAAAGTTTTAGATTCTCAGCCCTCAATATCATCTTTTCCTCCTTTAATTCAAACGCATGCATTTCCCTGCTGTACTTCCCCCTGACTTCTGGCCCATTCTTCAGGCCTTAGAGAGACAGAAAGAATACACAGACGCCATCAGAATTGAGCGAGACGAGCTCCGAGAAGAAGCCGTGGCGCTCAAAGATATTTTAAAGGTATTTTGTGTGCGCTGTGGGTTTGTGCGTATTGTTTGTGTTGTGCAGCTGCTTGTCATAGTTGTCTATAGTCAAATACATGGCTCGCTGTGTGATAAGTCAGAGATGAAGAGTTTCTCTGGCTTACACAAAAATGTTTGGACACAGATGATGCTCTTTGTTCTTATGGCTCATTTTGACTTTTTCTGCCGCAAAATGTATAAAAATAAGAATATTCAGGGAGCTTTTTGTCATGTTTGCGCTTCAAATCTGGCATGTGTTTTGTGTATGGGCGTGTTCACACTGAAGGGTACAGAACTGTGACAAAAGGCCAAAAACCTGGATTCAAACATTATCAGAGAAGAAGCTTGTTGTTCGAGATTTTAAAGAAAAAATCTCTCCTCGGGATAATTTTTTATCTGTTATGTTCTTGATTTGGGCCTAGTTTGTAAAGCAACGATTCTATGTGTGATCCCAAACAGATCTTCTGCTTTTGCACGATCGGCTTCTCTCATTTTGTGCCATTAAACAGTGGGACCAGCTTCAGACTGAACTTGTCTGTTGATCTGAATTTCTTTATTGTAGCCTGTGCCATTTTAGAAAAAGATGTAATGTATTTATGGTTGTATTTATTTTTACGAGGTAAGTTCATTTTTATAATTGTGATGGGTTTATCTCTGTGTGTTCTGGGACGACAGATTTCTTTTGTAAAGACTAATGGTTTGGTGCATGGTCCGTGATTTATAAACAATAAACTAAACTGTTTTTTTAACATAAATAATCATAGTGCATTAAAAAGATTGAAGATAACATCCCTCGGGTGTATGCACAGATACTTATCGTCACATTTTTGCTGTGGTTTGAGAGTTGCGTACCGCAGCTTTAATGAATAACTGTTGAATTTGTTTGTGCTGTTTTGCAGAAACACGGGATAGTCCTGGGTCCAGACTTGACGGTAAACGGCGGCGTGACGGAGGTGTTGGGCGTTGAAGCCAGTGCAGATCCAAACTCTCCGCTCTGTCAAGTCTCTTCTCCCACAGAAGGCGGCAACAGCATGCTAGGTACGACCCTCCACCGCATCCTCCTCACTGCACGGCTTTGCACTGGGCTCACTGCGGCTAACCTCACTGTAGTATTAGTGACGCTAATCTGCACTGACGGCTCCTTCACACTGTCGCACTGCTGGCTTTTGGTTATTAGCTTTCCTGTGTAGCATTCTATCTTTTTTACTATTGTGTGTGTGTGCTTGTCGTGTGTGTGTGCTTGTGTTGTGTGAGTGTTGTGCTTATGTTGTGTGAGTGTTGTGTGCGTGTGTGCTTGTGTCGCGCTTGTGTCATGTTTGTGTGTGATTCTGTCGTGTGTGTTTTGTGCTTGGTCATTAAAGCTGAGGTACCTAATTTTCAAACTTCAAAATATCAGCCATAATATCCATCTAACTCATTCCTTGCTCTAAATGGTTTGGTTCTATCACTCGTTTACACTTGCATGTATTTGTTGATTTGTTTAAAGACAAAGTGAAATAAAACAAGCCTCATTCAGCTCAAAACTTCAGACTCACAGGACTCTGCTTTTCTGTGGCCAAGATTTTCTGTTGGAACAACCACAATTTAGTATTTATGATTGAAAAAGTTGGGTCCCCAGCTTTAATGGTCTTCATACTTTAGTGTTGGAAGCATGTGGCTTTTCTGGTTTTTTCTTTTTATGGCTCTAAATCTCATGCACAGTGAAAAAACAGAAGGGTTGCATTATCTGTGGGTAAAGTGCCTTATTATATACAAAGTGTGATTGATGGATTGAGATTTAAGCTTCTCTGGATTTTCAAAGATATGACTTGAATGTAGATTCTTAGAAGTGGTATTTAATTTCAGGAAAATGCAATTAGACAAGTGTCTTCCACTAAAGCAGGGGTAGTCAAAGTCAAGTACATCAGAGGCCAAAAAACAAATTTGCTACAAGCCGAGGACTGGTTCAATGTTTATGAAAACATATTAAAATGATGCATAAAACCTGTTGAACCAAGACCTAACACAGTGGACCGGATTTTTTTAATGATTAAATGAAGAATCCAATGTTTGTGTGGCTATTTCAGTAATTTCAAGGGTCACAGGCTCAAAGACAAAAACAAACTTCCTTCAAAGAGTAAACACACGTCCTGAACATTAAATTTATAATCTATTATTTTCTTGTGTCTCTGTGCGGCCGGTTCTAACACTAATAAAATATCATCACGGGGCCAAGATAATTCATTCTCGGGCCGGATCTGGTCCCCGGGCCTAGACTTTGACACCCATGTACTCGAGAGATTACATAGTGGCCATTTTAATGAAACGTATTTCCATAAGTATTCACATGAAAACAAGCTTCAATCAGTACTTGCTCTTAGTAAAACTTACATTTGACATTTGATGCTTTGTACCTGGCAAACAATACAGCACTTTTTTTTAATTGATTTTCTATTTGCTCTTCATCTTTGAATTGAATCTTCTGGTGATTGTTTGGACATTAAACCCTTCTCCCGACTTCTGGGTCTTTTGTCTCTTTGGCTTCTGAATCAATCGGGTGTTCCGCCTCCTCCTTGCTGCTGCTGCTGCTCCTCCTCTTCCAAATCAACTTGATATTGTATTCTGCATCTCATGTTGGCATTTTTTTATCTTCATAATCCTTCAGGAAACTCTGAAGAAGAGGCCAAAGAGACATGCAGGCTCCCAACTCCAGCAAAGGAACTGCAAATCCAAGAAATTCATGAAGGCTTTGAGACGCAGAACTTGGAGGACGATAACAATGAAGGCTGTGAATCTATACTGGAAACTTTTGAGAATAGGGACCAAGAAAAACCCATTATTGAACATTTGGAAGAGGTTTTAGGTGTGGTTGGTACAGATCAGGTTGAGTATGGAGCTAGTTTTCAGAAAGATGTAGTAGAAGTCGAGCCAATTGATCTGAAAAATAACATAGAATTTCCAAAATTGGAAGAAAGTCGTGATGGTAAAATTGAGTCAAAAACTCATTTAGAGAAAGAGCTAGTTAATGTAGAACAAGTTGATTGCATTAAAGAGATTTTAAAGGAACCAATCCAATCCAACGAAGTCGCAAAGGAGGACCCAACGGCAAAAGAAAGTAAAAACAGCGATCCAATTGGGGTTGTTGCATCTAATCTTCAAATTCAGCAAGATTTGGAAACACTAGACTGTGACAGTGAAGACGTCTCTACCAAAACTCAAGTTACTTCAGGCGGAGGCAAGAAGAAAAAACGCAAGAAAAGAGGCAAAAAGAAAGGGCAGGCTTGTGAAGACAAAAGAGAACACAATATCAGAGCTGGAACTAAAAGTCGTGATCCGGTCGTAGATGGTAAAGTTGTTCCACAATTAAAAACTTGGCTTTCCAAAGGCCAAAGTCAGGAAGAATTGATTGAAAATGGGAAGGTAAGCGACCAAAATAGCCTTGCGGGTGATTCAAAAGATGATCCTCCAACCCAAATATTGGAACAAGCTAGATCCATTTCTGAAATTGGAGACATACAAGACTTGGCTGAATGTGGCAAAGTTCAGCTTAAAGCAAATAAGGAAGAATCCAATGCAGCCGATGACTGTATCCAACATAATATGGACAATGGACAAACAAGTACGGAAAAAGACTTGGTGGAATTTAACAAGATAGTGATTCAACAAGTACTTGAGTCAATGTCTAATGTCCAAGAAATTGATAGTTTGACAAATGGTTGTGAGAAAGTGGAGCCAAAAGTGATAAAGGCCAGCGCAGATACCTTGGAAACTGAGCAAGCTGAGGTTTTAAGTGACAATACTGCTGTTGGTAAGACTTTCTATTTGGAAGAAATTGATGAGAAAGAACAGAGGCAGTCTTTGGATTACGGTGTGGAAGAATGTCAAGTTGAGGCTAGCTTGGAAACATTTGATGGGAATGGGTCTAATCTGGAAACGATCGGAGTCCAAGGCAATGGAAATGTTGGTCTTACAATGGAGAGTAGTCTTCCAAATGCTGATGAGGCTGCAAAGTCTGAAAGTAAGATAATTGAAGGAGTTGAGAAACAGAACGACAAAACCAGTATAGAAAGGGAACATCCATCTGTATGTTTTGATAATAGTCAAATGGAGAATTCTGGACTTGATGTTCCAAACGAAAATGAAGAAAGTTTAGGAGGCAGTGACGATCTATTATTGCCTGACAGATGTAAAAGTAAGGATTCAGACTTTCATGAAACACCTTTTGTGGCTGAGGACGAGATTTTGATCAATACTGAATGTTCAAAGTTGCAAATTGCGGATTCAAATCAAGCCTCCACCTATGACTTGCCCATTATAACTAGTGATATGTCCATTATAACTAGTGATATGGTTGTTGCAGAAGTTGTTGCAGAAGTTGTTGAGAAAGTAGAAGCCAGTATGAATTTTATGGTGGTCAATGATGTAGAAGATGTTGTTAGCAATGTTTTAAATCTAAGTCAATTTGACCCATGTAGCAATGACAACAATGGAGCTGAAGAAGCAAACTTAGCAGAGTTTAAACCACTGGAGAAAGATGTTACGATATCTGACATTTTGAGGCAAGAAGACTCAACGAATGAGCTATTAACTGATGATAAAGAAGTAGTGCCCATTCAAAATGTGGGAAATGGCATCAGAGAGCAGGATAAAGTGGATACAAGCGTAGACAATGCAGCTCAGATTCATTCAGAAATTGAGTCGGAGGAGTTTAATGAAGATAAGGTTGAAGTAGGGGATGAAGTCAATGATTTTGTTTTAGACGACATTTCAAAAGACCAATTGACAAGCAATGAATCACAAAGCCAGGGTGAGATTATTGTCAATGACCTTATACAGTTGGAAATAGTTCATAAAAAAGCAGAAATCGCTTGCCAAGATGTCGAGGTACCTGAACGTAGCACGGAAGAGGAGGCCACGTCATCAGTTGCATGTCAAAATAAAGAAAATCCTAGTCATGTTTTGAGCACAAAAGACACAGGAGCCCAATGTGAGCTAATGCTAACACAATCTGCTAATGACGAGGAGAATGACGAACCAGGCGAAGACGGGACCAAGTTGGAAGAGCTACCAATAACCAGTGAACCTCCAAACCCAGAAATGGACTTCACTAAAAACTTGGAAGAAGCACAAAATATTACTCAAGAGTTTTCAAATTTGACAGTCTGCCCAACGATCGACTGGTCAGAAGAAGAAGCCAAACCAGATTCTTCAATGCTGGATGGCGAGGAAGAGGACGAAGCTGAGGGTTTGTCGTTTGATTTTGACGATTTGGAAATGGAGGCCGCCATCGCTCAGAGTTCAGAATGCAAAACTGACGAATTTGAGTTGGGTGAAGAGGTTTTGCCGGATGAAGAGCACTTGAACAATGATTTTCTTGACAACCAACAAGAAAACTGTGAAAGGGGTGATATTGACAAAGATGGTAAAGTGGATGAAGAGAATAAGGACAATGCCACTTTGGAGAGCCCAAGTTTGACCAGCCAGCTTGAATTGTCGGAAAAAGAGTTCGTAACATCTCTAGAACAATCCACACCTGCACAAAACAAAAGCGGCAACAACAACAAACAGTCTTCTCCCGTTGCAGGGGGCTCAGACTTGCGGAAAACTCAACGGAAAGAGCGACTTGGTGGAAAAGGTTCGCAAGAGACCGTTGAAAACGCTGAGCAAAACCAGTCGGGAAAGAGGAGCAGTAAGAAAGGCAAAGGGAAGGGCAAAGACGAGTGTAAAATGACCTAGTTCTATAAGACATTTATCTTATCTCGACGGATAATGGCGGACGAAGTAAGTAAAAGAGTGAGATGGCTGTGGTCAGAGGAAAAAAAGGGGGGTTGGATGGAGACTATAAATGACCAAAACATGAATGAATCGCTCTAGACAATGTCAGGAGATGATAGATAAACTAGATAACGGCCAAAAAGAAAATTCTGTGATATTGTGGAGCATTCCAGGCAAAGCGATAGAGAAGGACGAGACGGTCCAAGTTTGCATCGTACACCTTTTAAATGGTTTAGAGGACTGTATGTAATATTTTGCTACGTAAATGCATCTCCAGATAACAAGACAATCCGGACATTTTCTGACCAAAAATTTAAATTAAAGGTATATTGGTAGAATTCCCCACATTTGAGGAAAGAACAGCCCTTTCTACTTTTCGGACAAAACTCTCTGGTCTTATTTCACGAGCACATATCAGCAGAATGATTGACGCTTGGGAGGACCAATAGTCTTGATAATTCACCCGGAAGTAGAAAATCCTCCTCTGTACCTTTAAATTATTCTAGATTACAAGGTTTTCGGTTTTTCAATTATCTAAATACAGATTTGGCAGTTTTTCCAGTGAAATGTTTCTGGCTTTGGTTCCATCCTTTTGTTTTTTGAATTACGTTCACAAACAAATAAATGGCGCCTCACATCTGTTAAAATAAAAGCAGATGCAAAAATAATTGTATTTTCAGGCTGGAAGATTCAAAACAAGAGTGATTGTAATTGTAATGACATTGCTTTTTACATACTATCCCTGAACATTTTAGTTTTATCTAACTGTACAAATCCATATCAAGTCTATTCTTTTCCATAATGAACAGAAGCTTTTCACATTTAAATGTTATTGAGGAAATGTCCCATTGTTTGTGTTTTCTTTTCTGGAACAAATGCCACTAGTGAGAAAAAGTCACAGAATTTGATAATTTTCAACAATCCAACATGCTTTAGACTGAATGTAAAATATAGAGTTATTTATATGGCCATAAATATCAGTAAGTAAATTGGTCAACAATTCCGTCCGGTTTTACATCTTTTTAGCACTTCTTCATACGTGTTTGTATCTTCAGTTCTGTTTTCCTTTTCTCAAACTCATTCAGAAATGACAGATTATGACAGAAACTATAATGTAAACTGGATTTGCACTTTGCACTTGTTTATAAGGTTTACAAGTTAATGACCGTATATGGACTCTGTCTGGTTGACTCTGGCTGTTGTGGTCCTATATGTCCTGTTCCAGTTACTATACAAGTCTATGTGACCCGGAAGACTCCGCTTAAACTATATACTGTTAAATGTCCATTGTTTATTGTTGGATTCACGCTTATTGTAACAAACACATGCAATAAATAGACTTTTCGACGCTGGTAAAACTGTTACTTTATTCTGTATAGACTATTTTGGTGGATTTTTAGAGAGAAAATACCCATGATTAGCTGCTGTTTGTGCCTCCATTGCATGTCCACAGATATTTGCATGCTAACATTAGCAACATTAGCTTCACAATCCAGCCACCTCTCCTCGGACGCCTGATGCATGATCCGTAGCCTCCTCCCACCATCCCCCCATTCCTTTGCCAACCCTGGTAATGAAGCCTTTCCACATTTAGAAATGAAAATGGAAAGTAACTGTTTTATAATTGTTTCAGAAATACGCCTGAGGAAACTGGTGGATGAGCGAGAGAAGATGATTGAACAGGTGAGTTGATAGTGGAGCTGTGAAAATATGGTACTTTTTTTCCAAATATTTGAATCAAGAGGTGAGGATTAGTTATTAACTTTTAAAAGTATCTAATGTTAGTTCAGATTTCTAAAAAAGTCAGATTTCTATAACAGAACGATCACATGAGATTTTAGCTAAAGGTGAAACTTGAAACTTTTATAATTTTTTGTGTCTTTTTACAGTTCAGTACAATCATAATGATGGTGATGATAAAGGGCCTGAGTTAACCCAATTCAGATACAGATATTTTGTCAAACAAATCTAAAGCCAGTGCCAGATGGAGAATTAAAAAAATAATGAATTAAAAAATAAAAATTAGAATATTGTCCAAAAGTGCATGTATTTCTGTCATTTAACTAACAATGTGAAACCAGTCTCTGATTCCGACTCTAGTGGCATTTATCATTTTGCTGATTTGGCTGCAGTTCATTTTCAAATTCAGTTTTTTATTTATTTATTTATTTTTGTACAGCTTTTTTTATTGTGAGACAATTATCAACATTATAACAAAAAAGGTTTGATCTGACGTCACCTGTCCTGGGTTCATATCATAGCAGAAGGTCCTGGGTTCAATTCCACCTTCAGGCCTTTCTGTGTGGCGTAGCAAGTACATAATGCTGTATATTCTACTGCAAGAAATATATAGTATAAAAGTAATATAAGTATATAGAAAAAAAGTGATATTTCCATGTCATGAGAGTTGATTTGGCAGGAGACCAAGATGGCAATATTCTTTCCTTTTTTTAACTTGATTAGGACCGTTTTATTCCCCACCATTTACACACAGTTGTTTTAAGCATATTTTCTGTTGTTTAAGTCTAGTCAAGCCGAGAGTGATTCCTTTTGTTTTTAATGTGATATTTTCAACAGGTGAAAAAACTCAAAGCTCAACTGGATCAGAAATCTCCAAAGAATGGCACGGACAGTTTGAGTCCGGACGGAGAGATCCTGGAGAACGGCAGTGACCCGGCTTTGATAGAAATCCAAAGTAAACTAGAACATTTATCAATAGCTAAGACTGTGCTGTTTATTAACCTGCATCTGTTTTTAGGAGATTCCAATCGACAAATGAATGACCTCAAGTTTAAACTGGTGAAGACGGAGCAAGAGGCGACTGCATTAGAACAAAATGTAAGTCTGGGAAGTAAACGGTGTTGGAATGAGAATGAGACGATTCTCTCTCTCTCAGGTCTCGCGACTGGAAGGTCAAGTGTCTCGCTACAAGTCTTTAGCTGAAAACGCAGAGAAAGTGGAGGACGAGCTCAAGGCGGAGAAACGCAAACTCCAAAGAGAGGTAACAGAAATATTTATCACACTCAGATTTGAAGTCATAGAATTTCTCGTGCTGCTTTTTCAATGTGTGACTTTTAACCAGACTCTGTGCATTGTTTAGTGTTTTGTTTTTGCAAATAACTTTACTAGATTCACCAAAATCATGGAAACTTTTCATGGTCACTTGTGAGAAACTCGGCATATTTTATTATTTATGAAGTCTGTGGAATATATAAAGATAATACCAGTAATAATGGTAATAGTAGTAGTAGCGGTAGTGGCAGCATTGGTTTTATATACACATACTAACATAGCCACAGCTGCCCTGGAGCACACTGACAGAAGCGAGGCAACCTGTCTGTGCCATTGTATAGTCTCTATTTTTGTCGATAATTATACTGTGGTCAAAATTCACTGAAGGCATAAAAGGGGAAAAAGTGGAACCAAATTTAAAATGACATATTATTCATGACTTAATTTGAGATTGTGACAGATCTATTTTAATTCCAATTATGGGATATTCTATCTTTGGTATTAGACTCACTCCATTGAATGTTCAGACTCTTTAGTTCCCTATCTGTCCAGTGGAGGGCTGGATGGTTCGAATCCTGGTCGGAACAGGGCCTTTCTGAGTGGAGTTTGCATGTTCTCCCCGTGTCTGCGTAGTTTTCCTTCCTCTAAAAACATGCACAATAGGTCTGAATGTAAATGAGTGAGTGAAGGCAAAGCAAGGCAAGTTTATTTGTATAGCACAATTCATACACAAGGCAACTCAAAGTGCTGAACAAGGTAGCATTAAAATCATAAATAATCACAGAACATTAAAAAGAAAGATAAAAACATAAAATCCCTCAGTTGTATGCACAGCTAAACAGAACTGTTTTTAACCTGGTTTTAAACATTGTCAGAGAGGAGGCCTGTCTCACATCTTCAGGAAGATTGTTCCAGATTTTAGCAGCATGAATCTGAAAAGCAGCCTCCCCATGTTTAGTTCTGACTCTGGGCACTAACAGGAGTCCAGTCCCTGTGCTCCTCAGAGTCCGGGCTGGTTCATATGTGACTAACATGTCACTAATATAGTTTGGTGCGAGGCCATGGAGAGACTTGTACACAAGCAGAGCTGTTTTAAAGTCTATTCTCTGAGCCACAGGAAGCCAGTGCAGAGACCTGAGAACTGGACTAATATGGTCGTACTTCCTGGTTCTAATCAGGACTCGAGCTGCTGCATTTTGAATGTACTGCAGCTGTTTTACAGCCTGTTTGGAGAGACCTGTGAGCAGGCCATTGCAGTAGTCTAACCTACTGGAGACAAATGCATGGATAAGAATCTCCAAGTCTGCTTTAGACACTATGTTTTTGATCCTGAATGGTGTTGATTGGGGGCTGATGCGCCAGTGTTTTCGGCGACTCGCTTCCGTCATCACCATGTGTGGAATAATTGAAACAATATCTGAACTCTGAACATTGTTAAGCGCTTTGAGTGACCTTGGTCTGTAAAATGCGCTATATAAATAAACATTACTTACTTAGCTCATCTGAGATTATACTATAAGTAAGAATAAGCTACATAGAATTAAAAATTATTTGGTACAAACATTTCTGGTTCATACATTTATTTTATTGTTGCTTGAAGTGAGATTGATCCATGGTACAGTTTAGTGTGGAGTGAGCAGTGTTGTATATGGTTAGTACTGGCTCCAGTCTCTCTGCCTACAGTCCATCCTGAGTCCAGACTTGTAGCTAGTCTAACCCTCTGTCCTTCCCTCACAGCTGCGCTCAGCACTGGACAAAGTCGAAGAACTGGAGTCCAACAACAGCCATTTATCAAAGAGACTGGAGAAGATGAAGAGCAGCCGCGGCATGGCTCCGACTCCGTAGCATATTTATACATTTATCAAACTGCAATCACTGCTGAGCTCACTGCAATTCCTCTCAAACTCTCCAAACATGTGCCATTTGTGTGAAAGCAATGGATTCTGTAGCCTCAAGTCAATCACCTTTAAACGTGTAAATGGATTGAAAGCTTGTGTGGTATTGTTTGTGTGGTCTGCGTCAAAACGAAGAGGAAAAAACAAAAACTAAACTATTTTTCAACGAGAGATGGATTTGCACTGCCCTCTTGTGGCTGCCTCTACTAAATGCCTTCTCCCATACAGGAAAGTAAACTATAAAAGTCCTATTATTGTACATTATTCAAAGATGTGTGTGCAAAAGAACTACAGAAACTACAAAAACTCAACTCAACATTACATGAAATGCTGACACGGGGAATGATCTATAACCATGGGATTGCCATTTGAGATTTGATTTGCTCCTGATTTTGTCTGTTTGTTCAAATCCGTCCATATAAAAAAATCACACAACAATCAAAATTTGTGACGGCCTTATGACAGTGGTCTGGGTTTTATTCTAAAAGTGGGGTACCTAATTTATGGGTTTCATGAGTAATACAAAGCCTCAAACGTGCTGCTCACTATGTTAGCTTTAGCATGCTAACATAGAGCCCTGTGAGTCACTGTTTGGCTCTTTGGGCTGAGAGCTGAGTGACGGTGGCCCTCTCTTTTTCTTTTATCTCTGAAAAGTTGATCTAAAAATATGATAGAAGCCAAAAAGTACATGTGAAAACTAGTAATAACAATGAATCGGTTTTATGCAGCGCTTTTCAAAACTACACATCATCATTCAAGATTCATTCAAATGTGGGTGTAGTGTCTTGCCAAAGGACAAAATCACAGTATGGCACTTAAAGTACCACAGTGGGGTAGCTGTTATGTTCACAGAGGTCTCCCATCACAGTACTAACCAGGTCCTGATCTGCTTAGCTTTATAAGTTTGTCAGGGTCTGGCTTTGACCTGCAGGATTGGCCACTAGTGATAATAAATTGTTAGATTTTATTTCAGACTGTAGGTTTGTAAAAGTCAGGTACCCCAGCTTTAAATGAATCTGCGAGGGAAGGCTCATGGCTGTCAATCAATCTCAAGTCCATCTCATGCTGCTGCTTCGAAGGGGGATTTAACCATTTCCAGTTTGCTCAGAAGCCAAAGTTTTTAGTTTGTTTTTGTAACATTGTGAAACCAAGAGTTCTGAGCTTTGTATGAATTTCACCGATATTTTTGGAGTTGCGCTCATTGGAAAGTATTTTGGTGGATTTGAGTCGCCTTGAAACAACTGAGCAAAACCAAAACTGCTTTAAAGAGATTAAATTATGAACCAGAACGAGATCTTAACGCAAGATCAGCTGGAGAAAAAAAATATTACGCCAATAAAAGAATAAAATGAGTCAAAAGTATGTGACAATCGATGTTTAATTGGACTGTTTTCTATTGTCAACTTTTGTCTTTAAAGCTTTAGCGGCCTCTGGGAAAGTTAAAATATCCCTTTAACTTTTGTAGTTTTGATCATGTTTACAACCAAAAAACTATTTACTTATATTTTCTCATTACTGAAAGTTCACACATAAGTATCAAGCAAAAAGGATTCCGGTTTTTGCGAGAAGGGCCTACAAAAGTATTCATGCACGCCCATATAAGGAAGTGGCTCCAGCTAGCTTCTGTTCAAATGGGCTTCTTCTGCACTAAAGCTAACACTGTGGTGATGTCACACTCTGTCTCCTGTTTTATAGTTGTAAAAATGACGGAGTTATTCAAAGGTGCAGAAGTTGTTTGGAGACGTTCAGAGTCTGTTTCAGCTTTGAGTCACGAAGGAGAGAAACCGACTCATTCTCACGCTTCACTGTTTACAAGAGCTTCAAAATGTCAAAAACAGATGTAACTTGTGCAATAAATGTGTCATTTTCTGATCTGTTGTTTATGCTCATTTAAGGAAGTTAAAGCCAGAGTACAACCAACAACAAACGTTTAAAAGTAGAATAAAACCTGAATCAGGGTCTGGACGTTTCTGAATGACCCAGGGCTGGTCACGGTGGAAAAGTGCAAACTCAGCTCAAAAATACATGATTTAGGATATTTTTAATCATTGTGGTGGTCAACGTGACCCCAGGATAGCAAGTAACTTAGAAGCATAGTTAACCACATTGAATTAATTAACTTGGTGCATGGGGTTAGCTGCGCTTCTAACTTGGAAGCATGGCTAATCTTAATTTATGAGCAGACTTAAAAGCATGACTAACCACATTGAATGGATCAACTTAGAAGTACAGCTAACCACATGCACTAACTTGGAAGCATGCCTTATCACAATGAATGAACTAAATTAGAAACATGGCTAATCACATTGAATGGATTAAATTAGAAGCATGTCTAACCACATGTCATTATTTCATCAGGCCCACTTGCTCCTTTTTATTGCCGTCTCATCAAAGTGAATTACCCTTTTACCGAAATGCACGGAGTGTAAAGGTCACAGATTTGGGGTTCACAGAAAACTGGTAGGAAAGTTGCCAGAAATACTCGAGTAGTAGTAAAAGTAGTGCAGTACTCTCACCAGGAGAAAGTACCTCTGTCTTTGGATACATTCTCAGCTGCAGCTCATGTTTTCCACTCTGAGCCACGTAATGCAAGGATAACAGTTTCCCCCGTTTCCCCATAACCCCACATCCTTCCAGCTTCAGTATCTCTCATCCAGGAAAGTCCTCTTCTGAATCCTCTGCACCATGTGTCGTCCATAAAAGTCCTTGTATTCAGGCGGCAGCTGGTCCAGACTCTGCAGAGCTCTGTCCAGACTCTGCAGAGCTCTGGCTGCACACACTGGGTCCTTGTTTCCATACGGGTCCTTCTTGTCGTAACCATCGGCCTCTAGATGGCGCCAAAACACGTTCACACCCACCCCGAACTGCAGCGCCATCGTGTTGTGGAACCAGAGAGCTGCAAGGACAGAAGTTATCAGATCTGAGGGAGTCCAGTCCACACTTAACCCCCAGAGCAGTCAATTTGACATTTTTAGATTTGGAAGTGTAATTACTTGAGAGCATTCTATGATTTTTTTCTGCTTCTATATTTAGTTTATTTCTTTGTCATTATTTTTTATTAAATTATTATTTACTAGAAATGTGAGTAGTTCACTGCAAATTTGGTGAAATGTATTGTTGAGCACTTTCTGACTGAGCCTTAAAACAAGATTCCCCAATGGGACAAGCAAAGTTATCTTGTTTTAAAAAGATAGAGAAATGTCTCCCTTAGAATGAGGAAATAAAGCAACAGTTTTTGAAATAAAATTAAATGTCTTTGTCTCATTGGAGAATCTGGTTTTGTGTCAGATTAAGATAAAAACACTTGATTCAAGCTTTTATTACTGATATTTTATATTTTTTTTCAGTGCCATCCATTCATCTTCCCCTTAAACTATTTCTGGGTCAGGGGCAGTCAGAGCACCACCCCCAGCCCCTCACTGAGTCCACAGGAGGCTGCTCTGTCGAGAAGAGCAGAGCCTCCTCGACCACAACAGCAGACATCAGTGGGAGTCGGTGGAGAGGGTCTCATGGCCAATGCTCTACCAACTGAGCCACTGTTCCAACTTTAGCTTGTAACCATAGCAACACACAGTTTACTCTCAGAAGCTAGCATTAGCATTGTTTTGCTTTATTTCAGTTATCTTGACCAGTTTCAGCACCTATTAAATGTGAGTAAAGGTAAAAACCATATAAATTGTCTGGTATCTGGTGAAAAACTAAACATTTTTGGGGGGAAATTTCTCAATTCTATCGGTTTGAATGGGAGCTATCATGGAGTTTGAGTAGTGGTTCTAAAGTCTTACCAGGGATAAACAGCAGGTCTCCAGGCTGCAGCACACACTCGAACCTCTGCGCTTTTAGAAATTCTGGAAACTTCTCGAGATCTGGAGAGTCTATGTCCAGGACTTCTGATTTATCTCCTGAGAAGTCACAAATATAATGTGTTTGGAGTTAAGAACAAAAATATTAACAGAATATTTTCCATTTTGTAGCACAGGGATGTGGGAATTCAGTCATAGGGGGATGGTAATAAAGAATAGATAAAAGGATATTTATTTGGAAAAAAACATCAATAGTTTACAACAGTAGTGACGTTGCAGCTTTTCAGTTATCATTTGTTCGGCATGAATAGACTTCGATTAACGCTAGATAATTTAGCTACGTTTTTTCATTCTAATTCTTTTCATAGTGTTTTTCATTGACATTTTACACCTTGCCTGTGTGACTACAGCTGGAAACTAAAACTGACCTATTTACAGTTATTGATGAATGTGCACTGTCCTTTTTCAAATAAACTGTAGAATAAAATACATTTACTTTAAACATTCATTAAGTTTAACACTCACAAATGTGTATCAAAATGGTCATGTCATAGCTCATTTTAAATCTCAAAAAAGTTTTACAATTTGTGTTTTGAACCTATCATTTCCCTGCATGTAATCTGTACTATGGTGTGGTTACGACCAGGCTACGTCTGAACTAAAATGGCCTGCTCATTCAAACTCTTTGAATACATGTTGCTAAGTTTATTATTTACTTTGGTCTATATTTTTTATGATAAAGCTAGACAATTTATACAAGCTTCTTCATTATGCTAAAGCGAGAGGTTTCGCTTCTATAGTATGCTAAAGCTAACTATTTCATACTAGCTTATTTATTAAGCTAATGCTAGAAATTGTATACTAGCTTCTTTATTATGCTAAAGCCAGATTGTATACTAGCTTCTTTATTATGCTAAAGTTAGATTTTATAGTTGCTTTTTATCATGCTAACGCTAGAGATTTTGTACTTGCTTCTTCATTATGCGAAAGCCAGATATTTTGTTTTATTTAAGTATAGAGTTACTGTTCATTTATCTTGTGCTGTGTGCTCCTCATTCCTACTGTTCTGTGGCAGTGTTGCCAACTCCTCAGTAAGGAAAGTAGCTATTGGCTGTCCCAAAAGTCGCTAGAAGTCGCTAAATGACGTCATCGCCTAATTTGCATAATTTGCCATTTGCAAATAACTAACGGACGCTGTAGGAGAGAGGAATAAGGTCGTGGGAGAGACAAAAGTGAGTAAAAACACCCTAAATATGTTTAGAACTACAAATGTACAAAAATAATTTCAACATTAACAACATTTAATGATTTTAATGCTTTGTCTAGATCCACATTACACACATCAGTTTTGTCCTGTATTGTTAAATGTTATAACAGCAAATGTAATCAAAAGATTGTTATGTAGGGTGAAATTTCTAGCTCTACAACCAACCCTCCTCCTTTATCCGGGCTTGGGACCGGCAAAGTGACCCAAAAGACACACTCTGGCAGAGTTACTTAGGTTTATTTTTGTAAGTTTTTTTTTTTTTTCATAGTTTGGCATAACAAATGATTTAATGTGACCCACTACTGAGAGAAAACAGAGTCACGGACAGAGCTGCCGCGGATGGAGTGGGGGGTAGTGGGGGGTGGCGGTGGTAGGAGTGGCCGGGGAGCTTTGGATGTGTGGTGGTGGTGGAGCTGGAGTTCAGTCTGCAGCAGCCTGAAAACTTCCTGTGCTTTTGAGTCTCCTCTCTCTCTCTCTGCTCCGCCCATAGACTGTAGCTGGGACTGCTGCCCAAGGCTACTGTGAGACTGGCCGCCTGTAAGTGCTTTGGGACGGGGGAGGGGCTCACGTTGAGGACAGCAGAACAATACGTGCTTCACGAGTCTCCAAAACACCAGATAAGTCGCCAAAACACCAGATAAGTCGCCAATAACACCAGAAAAAGTCGCTAGATTTGTCGCTAGTCGCTTTTTTGAAAAAAAGTCGCTATAGGGGTCTGAAAAGTCGCTAAATCTAGCGACAAAGTCGCTAAGTTGGCAACACTGCACTGACATTTCCTCACTGTGGGACCAATGAAGAATTTTTTTATCTTAATCTAAATCTTAAAATGTATTTGTGTAAAACCGGTCTGTGTGAGTTACCTGACAGATACATGTGCAGTGCATCCTGAGGACTGAAGAGAACCACCCTCTTGGTCCCCGTCACCTGAGCCAGAAGGTTGTCCATCACCTGTGTCACAGAAAAAAACCAAACATTGTCAAAAACCACAACAACAGCTGAATTTACAATGTAGTATCTGCTCATTTTAAAGAAGAAATAGTTTGCATTCATTATGTTTTTTCCTTTCTTTTGAAGGTGAAACACATATGAAGGTGAAACATGCTCTCTGTAACTATTCCTCTGGTTTGTTGTGCGACTATTTTATTTATTACATTCATTTCTTCGTTCGAACTCTTACGTCGTAGTGAGTCCAGAGCTGCAGGCCACAGGAGCTGATCCGGAAAACACTGGAGAAAAACTGGTCAGGATCAAAAAACTCCGGGATTATGAAATCTTCAGCCAAAACAGGAAACTGCTTCTTTATGTCGGCCGGCTCCTGTCGAACCAAACCAGCTACATCAAAGTGTGTATATGGACTTGAAAAAAGAAACCGTTCCACCTGATTTGACTCAATGCTGTGATTTATGTACTGTAACTTTAACATTTTGCACATGCATTTGTATTTGGGTTTGCCTTTGTATATTTATCTATCTCCAACTATCTATATATATATCTATCCATCTTATGAATATACATATATAATCATGTACAATCATTTTTTATCTCTTATTGGGGGAATTAAATCAACTAAATGTATGTATTTATTTATTTGGATCTCCATTAGCTTCCATAAGTGGTCACTAGTCTCCCTGGGTCCAGTCCACAAAAGGATCAATTCACATTAAACCATTCAAAACACAGTATAAAAAGCATTCAAAAAATAAAGACTGAATAAACATTTCACATCATCCTTAGACCTTCATTCAGGCATTGTTGTTGTCAATTTCTACAAAGTATGTTTAATGTATTGGCAAATGTGACGGTCTGCAACACCACCTTGCGTGCGTCTTCTCCAAGAGACCGTAGATAGTAACTTTCATCCTAAAACACACAAATATGATTAACTGCACAATCACAGTAAAGATTAGTTTCCTGACGCCTGAGGCCGCAGAGAGATGAGTCTGATAAAAGTATGACGTGCTAAACTATTATTGAAAAACAAACTGAGGCTGGATCCAGGTGCGATGGAATTTAATTCATAATTGCTGCGGTCACGGGTAAAATACAAAGTAAATACACGTTTAAGAAAAAAATCAAAGCAAAAGTGAAGTTGTGTGAAAAGAATGATTAGGAAAATACAGTAACATACGACATGACATAAAAAAAAAAATCTTTCTGCTCCTTTTCAGGACTGCAATGATTTGTAAAATTGTATTATTTGATGTATTATGTTCAAAATTTGAATAAATATACAGATAAAAATGCATGAATAAACGTAAGCAAGAAAATTTGCAAAAATAAGTCTAACAAAACTTTAATAGCGGTCAACAACAATGATGGCCTCCTGTCCGTGCCCCAGCAGGTGTTTGCCCATTCGCACACGCACACGCGCACACACACACACACACACACACACACACACACACACACACACACACACACACACACACACACACACACACACACACACACACCATACATTACTCCTCCACCAGCCAAAAATGTATTCATTCACACAGTTTCACTCACCTCACACAAGAAGAACTCTGAATGCTTTCTCTCTGACGCCCTTTTTACAAACTCGCTGAACGGTAATGTCCTGGAATCATTGATGTACGTTAACAATACAAACATTAATCATTTTGGCAACAGAGAATGTGAGCAAGAAAAACAAACACACACTTGTAAACAAAGTTCTTATGCAGGAAGTCCATGGCTGGAACTGTGGACACGTGCACCTTCACCTCCAGCTCTGCTCCCTGCTCTCTCAGGTAATCAGGAGACCATTTCTCCAAACAAGGGCCCAGACTCACTCCTCGGAGCACAGCTGGTCTGCGCTGCAACAGAGAAACCAAAATGTTGTCAATAAATACAGTAGATGCTGGACACACGAGGACATACTCATTCATTTTCTACCCCTTTATTAGTCCATTTCTGGGTCGGGGGAGTGACAATCAGAGCTGCAGAATATTTAACTAATTCATACCGATCAGTTGTGATTAAAGGCTTATATCATGCACGCACGCACTCACTATTGTGCACTCTCAACCTGAGGAGCCAGCAAATTCAAGCAACTAAAATCTGAAACAATCTTCCTGAAAATGTGAGACAGCCCTCTGACAACGTTCAAATGTAGGTTAAAAATAGTTGTTTCGGCAAAAACTGAAGGATTGTGTGTTCCCTCTACTGTGATTATGATTTTAATGCCTTGTGATATTTTAATTATTCTGTTTTGTTCAGCACTTTGAGTTAGTTCCCTTCTGCATGAACTGTGCCAGTAATAATAAACATGCCTTCCCTTTCCTTGTCTGTGTTGAATCTAAAAAGCATCTATTATGGCTTGCAGACGTATCTTGCCCAAAGGCACAAGGACAGCTCACTGAAATATTCTGGATGGCACGTTCAATCTGCACATAAATAATCTTGAATCGATTCAAGCCATGTCATAATTGTTTAAAACCTCGCATACCTTCGGATAAATATCCCGCAGAAACACGTCTCTATTCACTCTTGTAAACACGGGAACGTCTGTTTTTTCTTGAAGCTCCATCGTCCATTATTTTAATGCTAAACTCTCTCAAGTCCATGCACTTTCTCCAAGGCTGAAGTTATTGTCACATTATTATCGTTCCCCTTTTAAAACTTCCACTGTTTTCACCCGGACCACAAACACAGACGCACCAGAATCCAACATGGCGCTGCCCGTCTTCAGAGGTTGTTGTCGATTGTCGGTATCTTTCGGATTAAATCGTGCTTTCACTGTAGAAAGATGCACAATGAGCCGAAGCCATGGACCGGGATCTCTGCCCTCAGCCAGCCGTGTTCCGGTGGCTTTCTCTCGGCCTTACAGCTCCGACCGAGAGCCTCAGAGACAGAGGCAGAAAATGGTCGTGGTCGGTATACCCAACCCGTTCATCTGGTTCAGGACCAAGATTTATTATTTTCTAATCAGGGCATATTTCGATAAGGATTTCACTATTCAAGAGTTCACAGAAGGAGCAAAACAGGTAAAAGATGACGTAAAAAGTGGCATGATACAAAACTTAAACCAGACCTCACGCTGTGATACCTGTCACCTATGCAACAAAAGGTTTAGAATTTGTTAGACTTAGAATAATTGAAACGATACATTTGTTTCATCTCAACTGTACGTGTTCTATGTGTGTACTTAATGTGCACGTGTATATAGTATTAATATAAAGAAATGGTATGTTTTGGTAACTGCTTGTACCTTGAGCCAAAGTTAATTCCATGTTGGCGACTTCCTGTCACTTACGAGATCATTCTGATTTTCATTAGAGATACTACCTCACAACAGAGATGAACTAAACATACATTGTTTAATGATTATTATTTTTTCATATACACATTTGTGGTATTATATAATGGAATAATAGTTACATTCCCAGGACAAACAATGTTTTGTGTTTAATGAACTTTTCAGGCTTTTGCACATGTGTCCAGACTTCTGTCTCAGTGTCAGTTTGAGGCTCTCGAAGGACTAGTGGCCAAAGATGTAAGTATTGAATTCATTTGCATAACATTTTTCCACTTGTTAATAACAATATTTTAAGATACAGATATTTCATTACCAATTAATTTTTCGATTTACTTTCATCCTTTGATTATGGAGTGGTGTCATTCCACACGGTGAGAAAGATGGCCAGGAGGAGCTCTATAGCCCAGGCATGTCCAAACTAAGGCCCGTGGGACCCCGCGGTCCGCTGTGTCAATGTATTTGGCCCTCTGCCCGTCTAACCCACAAGACCATTGAGATTCATTGGCAACATTTCTGATTCTGACATTAATCGCAATTCGGCCGTGGAAGAACTATTCACAAGCATCCAGATTGATATTATTTAAATTTGACAAGTTAAGCGGAACTGAAAGTCAGCGCGGTCTTCAAACGCTACAGGGAACGGACCGAGAGAAGCCGCAGCTCACTCCTCCAGAAAACAACAAAAAGCGTGAGCTAACCGCTGGGGAGAAAGTAAACATTTGTCAAAGTCTGCTCTCACACACACACGTATCCAAAGCGACATCGCACACTTCATTTCATCACTTCATCTCAAAATGGGCCCATTCCTGTCAATATAGTTTTACAATCCCTGTTGTCGGCCCCTGGACCAGTCTGGTGAACGTAACCCTCTTACTAACCCATGTGTGTGGACACTCTGCTGTAGTACCGGTCGTCCTTCCCAGAAGCTGAGAATCTACACAAATATTTAACTCCTCTTGTATTTTTCCTCAGCTCATTGGAAAGTTAGAAGAGAAATGTAAATTTCTGCCGTTAAGCTACAAAAGGGCGCTGTTGGCCGATCCAGACGAGATCATGTACACTACGGCCGGAGACGTGGGCATTTACTACGACGACGACGGTCAGTCATGTGACATCACTTTTACTACATCAATCTCTAATTAGTCTCACTGGGACTCCTCCTCCCACACATATCCAATCATGACTTATTGATGCATTTAGAGACATTTAGAATATGTTTATGAAGAATCAAGTTATCAAATGTGAAAGCCAGAGGCAGGGCCTGCTTAGCGTGAAAGAATAATGACATGTGAAGAGACTTGAGAGTCCTGGAAAGTGCTGTGAAATGTTTCATTATTATTGTCATTGCAAACACTCGCCATTCAAGAACATCTTTTATTTCCTCTTTTTCAGTCCCTCTTCTCTTCATATCTTTTACAGGTCGTAAATTTGTAAGTATTCTGATGCGCTTCTGGTACCTGACCAGTGCCAGACTTCCGGACGACTCTTTGGAGGGAGCTCGTGTTTTCCAAGTCGCTCTCGGAGAAGGAGAAGCAGAGACCAAGAGATTACTGACCGCAAACTACGAGTAAGTAGTTTATTTAGTATATTAGACTATATATTGTTAAATTCAAATGGATTGTTCATTGCGCAAATCATTCAAAAATTGAGAATTGTACATAACTCCAGTCTTGTATTTTCATGAATTAGGATTTAAACATCTTAGGTTCAACTATTATATATTAATTTGAGTCTAATAATCAAAGGGAATGTTATTTTTTGGTCAAACTTGGGGTACCCTCTAAAAAAAATCCATGACACTGGTTCCTGGCTCTGAAATGATGTAGTTCTGTCACTTCCCACACGTGTTTGTCACATGTTTATTTATTTAGTGATTGACGCTAATACTGCACTTTTTATATCAATAGATTTCAGCGAGAATTCACCAAAGGAGTCGCTCCAGACTGGACCATCACACGGATAGAGCACTCCAAGCTTTTGGATTGACACTATTTTAGCTCTTTATGAAATTGTTAATTTTCTACCAATGGACAAACATTGTAAGTGCACAGATCAACTTAATGATGATTGTGTATAGTTGTGACATGTACAGAAATGTGCTTATCCCACTCAATGACGTTTGATAAACAATATGAACTTTTGTTTTATTATTGCTAGCATTTTTTGTAAATTTTTTCCTCCAGCAAACAGTAGTCTACAAACTTCCTCTTTGTGTTTGACCTCTGGGAGGAGCTGGGTCCCTCTTTATGAAGGGACTTCAAACCGAATTGCACAAAAAAAAAAATCTGCTTTTTGTTCGGAGACTTTGTTTTGCCGGGAATGTCTCGCAGTACGGCATCAAACTTTTCCATCTACTTTGGAGATGAGCAGCTGACTTCAGGCTTAATCGCAGGTACAATCAATGGATGGGAACCCGACACTTCAGATTCACCTGTGGTACATCAAGATTCAGCCCTATGGAAGTATGTTTGACACCAAGCAGGAAGAGGACCATCAAAGGTGCAGATGGAACCTCAAATGTCTCCAGGACTGATGTGACTGAGACTCTTCAGTTCAATGACTTGTACAGTATGTGTTTAGAATATTAAATTCTCCTTTGAATTCATGTGTGTTTTGTTTTATAAGTATGGATTTTGTGTATTACTAACAAAAACCAAGAAACCACTCACACTCACTGAGAGAAAGTTACATTATCAGAAAACACAGTCGGGACCTGGAAGTGTCTGGATGCACAGAGCAGTGGGAAAAGTAACGCCAGAATACATAAAAAGGCTTTAATCATCAACACAAGATGAAAGGATGAGATAAAGGACCTTGCATTGATTTTCTAGGATTGCCTAATAATAACAATGTTCCAGAATAACGTTTTTACACTACAGTTAATGTGCAGACCACAATAAATGTGACATTTGACTTGAGCAGTCTTATTTTCCTCCATTTGAATCGCAATATATACAGAATCAAATCACAATAGCTTTGACGGTATCTGTTTAGAATCATATTTAATTTTGGCCCAAATATTGCATTTCTGTCTAATCACTTTTTCCCATTCCCGCCACAATTTTTTTTTTATTACCAAATGATGCTTACAGATCTTCACATTACGATTATACAATCGTACAATCTTCACATTACAGAATATACAAAGCAAAGTTAAAGAGTAAAACAAAACAAGTCGTCGACCATATTGTTATAAAGCCATACAGCCTTCTTGTAGTAAAGCGGCGATCAAGTTTAGTACTGTCAAATGTGCATTTCTATAAAAAGAATTTGGGTGGATCTAATAAAATGATTGATTGTGTATTGATTTTTCTTGTGTTCTAATATAGCTTCATATATTACTGTAAGGACAATATTCCCAATTTGTTGTGTGAGGCTAATGAACAAAAACTAGCCGAAAAGTGTTTAGAAAAAATGCAAGTAAAAACAACGTAACTGAGTTTCAATAATATTAGCACAAAAGACACATTTTCCCCAGTATTAAATTTAGAATCTCAACATGGATAAGCATTGTTTATAGTTTTAAAATATACTTCTTTGGCTTTCTGTGGAACTGGTATTCATATTTTGATTTGCAAATTGTTGTACCAATTCTTGTCATTTCAGAGACAAAGGAAAATGTGTGTTGGCCAGATCAGTTCTAAAAAATAAAAAAAAATCTTTTCCCAGCCCTTTAAAATACACATCCATGCAAAAAGCGATGACGTCTTTGGACCCGCCTCTTTAAGCAGGGTCCACGTGCCTGCTGCTCGGCTCTCATTGGTCCCTGCGCCTGTCCATCACCTCGCCGCTGTTCCTGTTGTGGTCCGGGTCCGCCTCTACGCTGGGGCTGTCAGACAGACGTGCATCGGTTTGGCCAAAATGAAGCGCTAAAACATCACAGCGAAACAAATGCAGGATAAAAACAGCATTTAGACCATGAAGGCTGCTAGTGTGGCTTTGTACGGGCTCGCCTTGGGCTTTCTTGCTCTCGGTCTGCGTGAATTACTGACCGGTTTCGAGGAGAACAGATGCAGCATGACTTATATGTTTGAATACCCCGAGTTCAGGGTAAGTATTATACAACCTGTTATTGCTAAAAAGTCACTATAACACACAACAGCGTTTGCAGTGGTAGATTTAATCATGCATGCTAATTTCTTATCTGTGTGCATGTATTTCCTGGTTACGTCAGCGTCACCTGTTTGACAGACAGGCGTGGAATAAACTCATTTATCTGGTTTCTGATCGCTTTCACCTGCGTCTGAGTTCTCATCAAGGCTAATTCCATATAGATGAGATAAAATTAGAGGTTTTATAAAAGCAACCAGCAGCAGATCATCCTATAACAATCCTATCAGCATCAGATAAGGGATAAGGGATCAGTAGTAGTAGTAGTAGTAGTAGTAGTAGCAGTAGTCCTTGTGGTAATAGCAGTAACATTATTCCTTGTAGTAGTGGTTGTCTTTTGCTGTCCTTCTAGTAGTCCTTTAGTTGCAATAGTAATAGTAGTCCTTGTAGCAGAAGCAGCAGAAGCATCATCATCATCAGCAGTAGTAGTAGTAGTACTTGTATAATGTGTTCACTAGTCCAGAAGTGGGACACATCTGGAGGCTGTTGCATATATTTCTGCTCATTCACTTCTCCCTTGAGTGACTGATGTAAAGCGCTCGCTCTGAAAACGTTTGTATTGAATGGGTTTTGCTCCTGGCGAGTTTGTTGATATTATTACTATTAGTAAAGGGGGTAATGTACCGTTAACGATCTGTGTTGTTGTCCTTCTGGAAGTGTTCACTGTATTAATTTAGAATATAGAACTCATTGCTTTTGCACTACTGCATAAAGGTAGATTCTTGGTATTATTATTTTGATGCTGATCCTGGAAAAATGAGTTGGAAAGTGTGTTTGTGATGTCCTCCTGAGTATATTTTTAGAATAGTTATCAATTTGTTAAGCATATTGAAACAGACTAGTCTTACCAAAGTGCTGTACGGGACAAGTGAGAAACGGCAACAATAAATTCACATACAAATACAAATACAAATGTCCTGAAAAACGTGTCTCTTGCTACCTGGGATTTAAAGCCAAAGGGAAAAGGTTTTCTTCCTAGAAGTTAAACCACTTGTCAGTTCTTGAATGACTCACCTGGAAACACACGACTCCTCACTGCATGCCGCCTCCTGCAATCTCACTCCCCCCGGTGGGGGTGTACCTGGATAGAAAATTACCCAATGCTTTTTGACGTCTTTACAGGATGGTCCAAAAGTAGCTCTTGGTCCTACAACGCTACGTTCCAGATGCTGTATTTGTAGTCTAGTTTAGCTGCTGTGGACTTCAGAATGCACATGTTAATTACATGGTGCTAATGCAGCTAACGCATGCACAAGTGCGTTTTTTCACATTTTCTTGCCCTGTGCCCATTTTGAAAAAGATCCACAGAAGGAAAAAGTGGTGGCCCTTTCTATTTTCAATGGCGGAGAGAGGTGTGACTATGTCTAATATTTATGGTCTACGCTGCCGCCATTGTTTGAATCAAACAGTCGCTTCAGCGCTACATCCTTATTGGTTCATTACTTTTTGCTATCTTGAAGGAGTTTGCGTTGCAAATTCAACTCAAATCAAGAGGAATGTTCTAGAATTCAAGTGATAATGTTGTGTTTTGACCCGCTCCCTTCAGCGGGTGTCGTTGCCGCGGCGCGTGACCAGGCTGTACCCGGCGTACGGCCTGTACCTGTACGGAGAGGGAGTCTACGCCCAAGAAACTCGCAACCTCAAACTGAGCGGCGCCCCGGTGCTGTTCCTGCCTGGCAACGCTGGCAGTCACAAACAAGGTGAGGATCAACCATCGGGGAAAATGTCTAGAATCTTCTATTTTAATATACACTGCAATGTTTGTCTATTTGAGGTGTTTAATTGTTCGGTTTATCCCTTCAAGATTCAAGAAGTTAGCCTGATCTAACCATACCAAGGTACTCATTGTCCTCTTTCTCCTCTCTTCTCTCTGTCCTCTCTGTCCTCTCTCTCCTCTCTCCTCTCTCCTCTCTCTCTCTTCTCTCTCCTCCCTGTCCAGCTCGCTCCCTGGGTTCGGTCGCTCTGAGGAAGGCCGAGAACATCGAAGGTGGCCTCCATTTCAACGTCTTCACCGTGGACTTCAACGAGGAGCTGGTGGCACTGTACGGAGGCAGTTTGCTGAAGCAGACGCACTTCCTCCATGAGAGCATCAAGGCCATTCTGCGGCTCTACAAGGTCGGTCTCCTCTGCGCCCGTGCTGCCGTGTCTGCCCCGGGGTTTTTGTGGCGGCCTCAGGCTTGTCCAACATATAAATATCGCATTCTGTCGCCTTCTCCTTTTACCCCGGTGAATCCTTCGACAAATTCCTGCTGCAGTTTTGGTCAGCGACATTGGAGAGCTCTGTTTGAAGATGGTATTGACAGATGTGGTGACTGCAGGAGGCAGGAAAGCATTTGGAAGGTGACACTGGCAAACCAAAGAAATGATAAAAAGTTTGAATGCCCCCGACTCTCTGGATCTCGCTCCCGCAACCACAAGCCCTCAGAAACTCAGACTCACTACAGAACGATTAATTCTCTCCATCTTGCCTTCCATTAATTTTGTTCTTCAATGTTTATTTTTGTTTTGTAAAGCCTCATCGAGGCTCCAAAAGGCCTTTATATAAGTTTGATGTATTATTGTTATCATTAAATGTGCAATATGTAAAAATCTGGCCAAAGGTGGTACTGCAATCACGGTCAACATTCTGTAGTCCTCCCACTCTCCCTGACTCAGGTTGCCAGATATGCAAACGAATCCAGCTGGGACCATGATAGCTGAATAGACAAGAGTTTTGTCAACAACAAATCTATAACCAACTTTTTCACAGAGATAGAAATGCAGGTTTTATTCCTTGTTTTGTTGTTAATGATTTGAGAATCATACCTTTTTTTAGTTCTGCGGCCACATTGTACTTTACCAGTGAGAGTAGTAGTAGAGAGACATGGTGAGATCTGGCAACCCAGGTCAAGAACTTTCTGATTGTTGAAACGGTGGAGGGCGGGACATCAAAATGAAAATAATAACAAGATTCAGGGGCTGTAAAACTAATTTGGAAATTATCATATCCCTGAACTACAGATATCAGTTAAAGAAGTATTTAAAAAGTCCATGGTTTATTATTATCACAGATTAGGGCCCTTTCATGATGACTTGACATGAAGGATTGACTTGTATCCAAAGACCAAATGAACCTTGTTGGACTATTAACTCAAGTCAGTTACTTTATCAACACTGCAAAAAGAGATTAAAAATAAGTCAATGATTGCTCAAATTTGGCAAAATGTGTCATAATTTGAGCACATTCTGACACAGCCTTGAAACAAGATTTAACAAAGAAAAATTATCTTGTTTTAAAAAAATACAGAAATGTCTACCTTGAAAGATTTCAAGGGATGAAGAAATTAATAATAAAAACTGAATGGCTTTGGGTTTGGACAAAATGTAGTTAGAACACAGTCGGAATGTGTCAAATTAGGATAAAAACACTCGATTCAAGCAATTACTACCTCATATGTTATAATTTTTTGCAGTGAATTTATTATTAGGAGGCCCCGGGGAAGACCCAGGACACTCTGGAGGCACTGTCTCTCAGCTGGCTTAGGAACGCCTTGGGGTGATGAGCTGGAGGAAGTGTGTGGATAGGGAAGTCTGGGCGTCTGCTGCCCCCGCGACCCGGCAATGGATGAAGCGGAAGAAAATGGATGGATGTATTATGTTGTTTCTAATTATGTCTTGTGTCTTTGTGGTCCGGCAGCAGCTGAAGTCTCCTCCTCAGAGCGTGGTGCTGGTGGGTCACTCCATGGGGGGAGTCGTGGCTCGGGCTCTGTTCACTTTGCCCAAATTCAACCCAAACCTGGTGACACTGATCATCACACAGGCCTCTCCCCACGTGGCTCCGGTGCTGGGCCTCGACCCCTATCTGCTCAGTGAGTACGGACCACATACTGTGTAACCACAGCCACAGAGAAATGTCTATTCTGTGCACTTGTATATACTTTTTTAAGAAATATTGCATGATTTATGTCTATCATTAATAATTAGTTTGCAGCTTGAGCCAAAGCAAATTCCTAGTTTGTGACTTCCTGTTACTTACAACAGCAATAAAGAAATTCTAATTCTGAATGCGCTGAGAATGAATCTCATTATCACTCATTATTTTTCATGTCCCAGTTTGACTTACCTCTGGTCTTACCACACCATTGTACTCATTTCATTTCGTACTAAGGTCTGGATGTGCTCCATTGAGCTCTGATAACAGGTGGGAGGGGTTAACGCCTTTTGCAGATTGAAACGATTGGATCTGAGTTTACCGGGGCATATGTAATGTGCTCGAGTGAGTGAAGCATTTAGCATTTAACCTAGCTTTAGCCATCTCCTTTGCCGCTGACGCAGCCCGTAGGGAGTAGAGCCACAACATCTTTACAGCAACGACATTTTCTAAACATTCCTCTTGCTCCGGCTACAATTTATAAATATTTGGAGCCTTAGATTGGGCCGAGAGCAGATGCACAGGGGTCATAGATTCCGATAACAGACAGAAGCAAGTTCTGTCTTTACATTTAACAAAGCAAAATAATGATCTCTGCCTTCAACTGTCCAGAGAGACCATTTTCCCTTATTTTCTGAATGTTGGTGAATCTGTTTATGAATGGAACAATCATCTAGTTTTAAACGTGCTTGTGTTACAGCTCCGTCTTGGCTGCCCTCTTGTGGCCATGTAGTATATGTAGCAAAAGGAGTTAACCCCTCCCACCTGTTACCAGAGCTCAATGGAGCAAATCCAGACCTGAAATGAGTATGATTGTATTTAGCCTGGCCATAGCCATCCGTACACTCCGCTCAATCATCATTTCACTGCATGTAACGTCTGGGTCTGGTCCCTGTGTTAGCGATTACAATCGGTTGTATTTCGACCGGCTACTCAGAGAGCGCGGAAGGCGGGTGTTGTAGGTCGGTGCCGGTGACGTCGAGCGTTTGCGCCGAACGGGGTTGCAAACTCAAACGCAGGTTGTAGTTTGGCAATGGCGAAGAATGCGATACTAAAGTAATCCGTTCTGGTTCTATCAAGAAATTGAAGCAGGAGCAAGAGGAATGTTTAGCAAATGTAATCGCTGGTCAAGATTGTGGCTTACTCCCCACGGGCTCTGTTAGCAGCAAAGGAGATGGCTAGGCTAAATGCTAACAACACACTCGGGCGCATTACATACGTCACAGTAAACTCAGATCCAATCGTTTCAATCTGCAAAAAGAGTTAACCCCTCCCACTTGTTCACGAAGCTCCATGGAGCAAATGCAGACCTTAGTATGAAATGTCATTTGTACTACGGTGTGGTACAACCAGGCTAGATCGTATGGTAAGACCAGGCTAGTATGGAACATACAGTATTTGAAGCTGTTTTGTCATTCTTTTTAAAGGCAAGTTCAATGTTTTGCTTTGTCAACATGTTCCAAAAAAACACCTCAAACTTCTCTCTCAAAATAACCACGACAAAAATTGTAACTTGATAAAATGAATCTTTTTGAATCCTCATTTCTGAAGCAGCAGTTGTGTTTTGGTCTCAGGTTTCTACAGAGCTGTGCGGCAGAAGTGGCTGAAGTCGGAGCGTCTCTCAAACGTCACTGTTCTGTCGGTGGGAGGAGGATTCCGAGACTTTCAGGTGCGCTCCGGCCTCACCTCCCTGCCCTGCTCCATGGACGACCCCCACAAGATGTCGCTGGTGGTACGATCCTTTCAGTTCATTCACATACGGCCTGTTACTGTCTCAAAGGTAGATTGGAGGATTGTCTAATTCTGGGTGTATCAACAAGACTATTGGTCCTTCTATACGTCAATCATTCTGGTGATACGTGCTCGTCAAAAAAGACAAGAGTTATTTCGAAAAGCTGGGAAAATCCTCCTATATACTCTTTTAACGTTGAAAATTGGCTTGAATATTTTGGAAAAGTCCAGGCATTTTGCATAGTTAATGACATATTGATCATTCACTTTTATGAGTTTTATATTCACTTTTCAGGTCGTAAAGTAATTCAATAAGAGCTAGCAACATTAGTAGTGAACTTTGTGTCTCTGCAAATAAATTGCTCAAAATTGTAATAAAAATATCACTTTATTACAGAATAAGCTGCATTTTCCATAGATGCATAGACGTCTCAAACATGCAGGCCATTTGGGACACACAAAGCCTCATTGACTTATTGTCCAGTTTTTTTTCTCTCAATCCAAGCAGCAAGACTCAATTTGTTCTTATAGAATAATAACACATGTGCTCAAAATACCTTCAATATCATAAAAAATTACAAATTAAATGATTAGCTATAAACAAACTTCCCACAAACATATGTCTTTGTGCTCTTTGCTCTTTGCTCTTTGAAAGTGTATTTCTGTCCCAGGTGACTGCAGTGCCCCGGACCTGGGTTTCCACCGATCACTTGTCGATTGTTTGGTGAATAACATCAGATTAAATATTCATTATTATGCAGTTATACATTGTTTAGATTTCATTGTTTAACAATTATCATGTTTTGTATTTCAGGTGCAAAGAGCTCGTACTGGCCACTGTCAGGGCTTTCTTTGACCTCCTAGATCCTGCCACCAGACAGGTCAGAAACACAATTGGATTTATCATTTTAAAGCAGGCAGGTCTAGCTCAGGCCCGTGGGCCAAATCCGGCCTGCGAAACCATTGTTAGTGGCCCCTGAAATGATTTTTAATTATTATTATCTCAGTAACTTGCAGCATTAATGGTAATGGTAATTATGGATTGTTAAACTTAATTAGACTTATTAAGCTTATTTTCTCCGTAAAACAACCAAATAATTTAATCTGTTCTAATTTGTCAACAAGCAAATTTTTAGTTTTTTTACTATGAATCTTAATTTAAAAACTTGAATAATATCCTAAACGCAAGTCAAATAAAGTTAATTTATCAAAATACAAAAAGAGTAAAAATAAATAATGATGATTAAAAGTATTTTTAAAATATATTCTATATACCATCTATTTTTTTTGCATCGCTGAAAAGTAAAGTACAAACACAGTTGTCCATTGTTTTAGTTCACAGAAGACCCCCAGAGGAAATCCACCGTCCTGAACCATCACTTCATCAGACACCCTGTGAGTCCAGTGGGAGAGACGCAGAGAACCACCGCCTCCTTCTTAGGTAAAAATACTGATGAGTTTTGTTTATGTGAACCGCAGACCTGTGACATGAGCCGGTCACTAGAACAGTTAGATATTTTCAAAAGCCATTAGAGAAACGCCAGGACCCTTAAGTCCTCTTAAGATTTAAGCCACACCTCTCAATATTTGTTCAGACCCCCATGGATACATCTGGTTACAATTTGTTAAGAGTTAAGAGTTAAATGTATTTATTATAGTTTAAAAATAATGGTTTAATGCAGGTGCTGCCACAACATTCAGACCTCTGAAACTAAGCAGTGCAGGGCCTGGTTAGTACTGTGATGGGAGACCTCTGGAAACACAGTGGGACGGCTGTAAAGTGCCAAACTGTAGGTGTGTCCTTAGGCAATACAATTCCCCCACATTAGATTGATTGTGACGTGTGCGTATTGGCCTTTTAGTTTAATTATTTGATAGTGGGAAGTTGACACAATCAACATGTGAAACACTTTTTTTTTTTTTTTTTTTGCAAAGTCTGTCCCCAGAAAAAGAGCAAACATTTCTTACAGCTAGCTAAGAAACATGGCAGCTACACATATTGTACATTCTTTGTGCTCTATGTGTCTCTCACTACTGTCCTGTCTGTGGGCTGCAACATTGAAATTTACCCACTGTTGCATGATTAAAGAATCTCTCATCTTAAATCTCTTTGACAGAATCTCCAGAAGCTTGGAGTGAAGTCAACACACTGCGTCTGGCCTACACCACTCCAAAGGTATTATTCATTTCAATATAAAACCAGATAAATTAACCAATATCTTTTTCACACATTTGTAATCCAGTCAAATGTTTTTGTTTTTTGCAGGAGGGACAAGTCAAATACTTCCTGTTTGCTCTGTCCAGTCGCAGAAAAGCATACAGTCATTTCTATTGTCGCAGCAGTGGTTTGGTGCGTACCAGAAACAATTTTTTTCTGATGTTAAATCGTAAATTGACGCTAAAATTGTGTATATTTGCTTTGTTTTTTAGCAAGACGTGGTTAGCTGGGTGTACGGCTGTATGCAGAAGAATGGCTCTTCTTGGTAAGGACAAAGTTATCAAGTTTATTCAAGAACATATCACACTTTTCTTAATCTGTATACACGATGGCAAGACGAGTCTTTTTGTATAGCGCAGTTCAGACACAAGGCTAACTCAAAGTGCTGAACAAAACAAGATTGAAACATGTAGGGCTTTAGAATCATAAATACAGTAATTACAGTACATTAAACAAGAGTGAAGATGCAATCCTTCAGTTGTAGCAGATAAACAGAACTTTTTTAAACTTGGATTTAAACATTGTCAGAGAACAAGCCTGTCTCACATTTTCAAGAAGATTGTTCCAGATTCTAGGTGCATGAATCTGAAACGCTGCCTCCTGATGCAGAGCTACTTTAAAGTCTTTTGCAACCAAACGCATTAAGAATTTCATTTTTTTGCCAGCATAAAGAAACTTATATTTGGAAACTCCTTACTGTCAAATAACCAGCTGTTAATGTTCATGCATCCAACCTTAACTATCTCTATTTAATCCATTTGATGTGCAAACACTATAGTACTGTCTCAGCCTGCCATTTCCTTTCAGTAAATGCTTTTTCTTTTTGATATAGACATCTCTGCGTATAAATACTTGATAGGTACAAACTAAATGTCTTGTAATACATCAATGGATATTAACAGCCGGCCAAAATAAACAGTTATCATCAATTATTGTTTTTGTCATCTCCTCAGTGTACAAGCCGTGGATCTGTCAATGGGCACTGAATACCTTCCTCCGTACAAGGTGATGGAAAAACTTTCTATGTGCAGTAGGGCTGGGACTTGAGCTCAAAAACCATATTCAAATTTAATTGTTTTATTAATATTAAAATTCCAGTATAATTGTATATAGTGGCTATTCTTTGTGTGTGTGAATAATGTTTGAATATAGAATTTAGTTTTCCCAGCCCTGATGTACAGTATTCTAATTCCAGTCCTTTCCTGAGGTTGTAATCTCAATATATTTTTCACTTCTGGTCAGGTGCTGATTCTCGACCTCAACGACTTGTCTGTGTTTACTCACCTGGTTGTGGCCGCGTCAAACGTCAACGGAAAACAGGTATTTGAATCTGAAAAGACTCGAGCTGGGTTTCCACGGCATGATTCTGTCTCTGGCACAATGTTAAAGTGGGGGACATTAAACCATAGCCAAAACATTGTAGATCATAGAGTTAGATTCAATCTGCGACTCATATAAAACCTGTTTCTTATCGCCGCTGTAGAGTGGAGCTGCATGATGTCAGTCTCTATAGTCTCCTAGTGTGTCTCCACAATTCTGGAGGGGAGGTGGAGGGTTGTAGCATGAGCTGAAAGTAAAGATAAAGCCATGTGCTGTTTGCTGATTAGCTACAATGCGGCTCACCTTTCCCACAGTATTTAGCAGATTTTTTTTTTTAAGTAGGTACACATGACCCTAACCAAGATGACGCTAACTGAAGCACAGATGATGCTAACTGAAGCACAGATGACGCTAACTGAAGCACAGATGACGCTAACTGAAGCACAGATGACGCTAACTGAAGCACAGATGACGCTAACTGAAGCACAGATGACGCTAACTGAAGCACAGATGACGCTAACTGAAGCACAGATGACGCTAACTGAAGCACAGATGACGCTAACTGAAGCACAGATGACGCTAACTGAAGCACAGATGACGCTAACTGAAGCACAGATGATGCTAACTGAAGCACAGAATGATGGTGAGAGACCTTTTGTCTTGCACAGTTCACAGTGGAGTGCGAGTGGCAGCGGGAGCAGTCTCAGACCGTCACGTTATCGGTGCCACATGTGCTTTCTCTCGGTGAGCGCCGCTGTCATTTCATCTCAATATTTTTATGCCACACATTTCATAACGCTGTCTGTTGTAGGCATGACTGCGAGTGACGTCACGGTCGGTTCTTCTGGACTTCTCCACACCGTTCAACTGAAACACTTTCACCAGGTTTGTGTCTGTTTGCTTTGATGTTTTTTAGTACAATAAACATTTATCTACACTTTAAGACTCTTTATTAAGAGTGCATTTTCTTTATGATAAAATGTATACAATATTTTTAAAACATGTGACCGCAACTCTTAAACATGGTTGTCAAAGTCGAGGCCCGAGGGCCAAATGCGGTCTGCAAATGAATTATCTTGGTCATGGGACGATATTTGATTTGTCTTAGAACCGGCCGCACAGAGACATAACATTTCTATTGCTTCTCTATTTGCTTTAATGCTGTTTTGGGCCAGAGTTTTCCAATAACTTACTTCTTTGACCCTCTATGTAATATTAGAACACGGGTTTCTCAAAATCCAATTCAATTCATTTTTGTGTAGCCCTAAATCACAACAGCGGTCGTCGCGGAGGACTTTGCTAAGTTTTCAATAAAAGCATAGAAGCCATTGGTCCAAACGTAGAGGGACCATTGCCCATATAAGTTTATATATGTCCTGGATCATCACTGGCATTAGACCCTCCTTCATTAATGAGAAACAATTCAAAAACCAATTTTATTTGATAGATAGATAAACTGGGCTCTACTTTACAAAAGAAATTAGGACGTGTTTTATGTATTTCTTTTTATCTGGATCCACTTCTCTTGTAACCTCCCCTACAAACTCCTGCAGGTCTACCAAGCTTTTAGAATCACCGTTTCCAGCCTCTGCAAGACGCCCAGAGGTCAGCATGTGCATCAAAGTCCCATGTTACTCTCTGCTGTTTATTAAGTTCTTGCATTTTTTTTATCCCTCAGAAAGATTGTCCAACGTCTATAGACTCAAAGTACCATGGTTCCGCGAAGACTCACTCACCACTGCCACGTACGTACTGTTCAATAATTCTTTTGAATCACATGGAAAAACTTTTATTTAACTCATGGATATATAGTTTCACTTAATAAGAATTTGTAAAAAGACTAGTTTATTTGTACAGCACATATACTCAAGGCAACTCAAAGTGCTGATCAAAACCAGAAAAACACAAAATCATAAGCATTTGCACAATACATTAAGAGGAGTGAAGAAATACAGACATCTAACTTGAGATAGAATTAACTATGTATGTTATTTCACTTTCACTATATATACAAGGTCTTGAACTTTTGTTTTGATACTGGGGCCTCTAACCCTCTTTTACATATATATACTGGGGCCTCTCTTATGGTATATATTGGGGCTTCTAACCGTCTTTTTGATATATACTGGGTCCTTTAACCCAATTTTTTATATATACAATATATGTAGACAACCTTAACCCTCTTAAAGGATTCTTTATGATGTATACACATAAAGAATCCATACAACACAAACGGACAACAAAAACACACAAACTTAACATATTTACAAAATTCTGTTTCTCTAAAGCCTCCCAAGGGTTTATAGGTTGAGAACTTGTAAACATGAAAAACACAAAGACATTAACATCATTATCAATCGCAGTACATTAATCAATCAATCTATCAATCTATCTACATTAAAGAGTGAAGATAGTCCTTCAGTTGTTTGGAAAACAAAATATTCCATCTTTATTTGTCCTAAATGTTTTGGTCCAACAGAGCGCCGTCTGTGACCGAGATCTCAGGGATGCTTCACACAAGTCGCCCAGATAATTTTTCCAGTGCTATTCTACAGCTCCACACTGCCCCCAACTGCCAATACAAGGCAAGAAGTCCTGGATAATAAGGAATCGTGTTAAATGCTAATGCTAATGTTATTGCATTTGTTTGCAGGTGTCTGTGAGAACGTCTTTACCCAAAGTGCTTGGGCAGGTAAGTGATTGCACACAAACAATAGTAAAAGATAATATAAGGGTAATGTTTAAATTATAGTATTGTTAAAAATATTGAATTGGATGAAGAAAGTACATTTTGTCCATATATAGGCCGCACTTGAATATAAGCCGCAGGTTTTCATGTTGTAATGTAGCAGAGACGACTATTTTTACTGGACACAAACTTTTAAACTCCTCGTCATGAAATCCTGTTGAGTCCTGGACCTTTATCTATTTTTATGATGTACTAGTGTCCTATAGCAACTAAAATGTGATGGAGTTAAAATAATAAGTCCATAAACTCTGCTCTGACAACTCTACCACCTCCCCTTTGACTGTGTGATGTGTTGCGTTCAGGTGCTGAGGTTCTGTGGTCCTTTGGTGCCAGTGTACACAGCTGTAACGCTGCTTCTCGCCTGTGGGAGGCAGCTGGCCCTGATCCTGAAGTCCAAGGAAACTTCTAGCATGAGCCAAGCTGTGGCCAAAAGCTTTGAACCTCACAAAGTCATCCTGCCGGTGTATGGCCTGCATGTTTTACTAAGGTAACTTCAAGCTTGTTCCATATTTATTCTATTATTTAGATTTAAATGTGTTCCACTTACTATGTTTTTTATAGTCTCCTACAATATTAGTTGGTCTGGTCTGGTTCGTGCAGTGGGAGTGCTGTAAAAATTAGAAATTGGTCCAAAGGGAGCGAGATGAGCTCAAAAACTTTTACTTTCCTGATTTTCTTTTTTCAAAGCTGGATCATTTAACTTTTGTTGTTTCATAAGTACATTTTGTTTTCATGTCCCGTAGATGAATTATTGTAATAACTACAACTTTATAGTTGCAATTATGCTTACAACTTTTATTTATGCAAATATTTGTCACAATTTTATGGTTTGATATTCTGTATATTCTTCGTCTCTGTCTCTGTGTGTGTCTCTCTCTGTCTCTGTGTGTGTCTCTCTGTGTCTCTGTGTGTGTGTCTCTCTCTGTGTCTGTGTGTCTGTCTCTGTGTCTGTGTGTCTGTCTCTGTGTGTGTCTGTCTCTGTAGCTGCTGTTGGTTTGAAGAGCTGTGGTCCTCCTTGCGCCTCCCTCACATGGACTCCCTGGCTCCCACGGTCCCAGACTCTGAGACTGTGTCTGAGGACTCTGCCCCGGAGCAGTGGCCCCTCCTCCTGTCGCCGCTGCTGTATGTGATGGGGGCTGCTGTGGCCTTCTGGGGCAGCGCTCTGCTCCGCATCGCCATCAGAGTGCTGTCGCTCATACTGGCTCTTCTGCACAGGTGAAGACTGAACAACGCTATAGTGTGGTTCACCTTTACTCTATATTTGTGTACTTCTCTGTCTGTCTGTGTGTGTCTCTCTCTCTGTCCCTCTGTCTTTTTCTCCCTCTCTCTGTGTGTGGCAAAAACCAATAATGCACTCAAGGAACAAAAACATAAAGTGTGTTCTATGAACATTTGTTATCGAGTATTCTGTCATCTATGCAATTTCTGTCACTTTATCCAGATGATTTAATCCTACCTACAGTATGTAATAACCTTCCATTTAGAGTGCTCCTTGATTGCTCTTATTACTGTCCTGTATGCGTGTTGCAACACCGACATTTTAAATCTGAAGACATAATCACATTTTTGTGTGTGTGTGTCTTTCTTGTGTGTCTGTGTGTGTGTCTAGACCGTCGGTGTCCAGAGGCTGTGGGTCCCTGCCCTCCTGGAGCCTGCTGCTGGGGGCCGTGTGTCTCTCTGTTGTGGGCAGCACCATGTGTGGAGCCCTGGCCATAGTCACTGCCTTCATGGTCCACCTGTACAGAGTAAGTCTCTCACTAATGCGGCAATAGAGGATGATTGTCACTAGAACTACCAGAGCAGTCAATTTGACTTTTTTTAGTTTTGAAGTGTAATTATTCTTGTGTATTATTTTTACTTTTGTTTTAGCTGAAAACATTTTCTATATTATTTTAGCCACTAAATCAGTTTTATTGCAACTTCAGATTAATTGATGATATTGCAACACTAGGTTTGATTATTATTGAAAAGTGAATATTTTTGTTTTACTTTAATTTATCATTTTTCAGTCTTTTTGTTCTTGTCTTTGTGCTCTGTGGTAAAATGTGTTGCTGTGACTCACATCTGTTTTTAAAAAGGTGCTGAGGCTGCAGATGACGGAGCGCTCCTTAAGTCACATGCTGAACCTGGTGAGACTTCTACACTTCTGCTGTAAATCCATCTCAAGTCCCTGTAAAGCACACTAAAAGCATGTACAGTAGTGTCAGATAACACCCTCTCTGACCTCCACACCTGTCCCCTCTCTCTGGCCAGAATTTTTGTGTGACTTTCCTGGTTAAATGAGGAATTATACAATAATTAATGTATTCTAATTATTTCAACATGAGAATTGTATAAAGATGGCGCATCAGAGCCACCTTTTTTGCGAAATGCTTGGAGGGACTTAAGATGCTGCTTGCGGCTTTAATTATTATTTCCGCAGTGGGACGGCTGTAAAGTTTCAAACTGTGGTTGTGTCCTTAGGCAAGACACTTCACCCGCATTAGAATGAGTCTGGTGTGTGTAAATGGTTGGTGGTGGTGGGAGGGGCCGATGGCACAGACTGGTTGCCTCGATTTGGAGTGAATGAGTGATGACATGTGAAGAGACTTTGTACAAAACTGATGTATTATTATGATTTATAATTGACCCTAGGTTTGAACAGACTCTCTCTCTTCAGGCCCCACAGAAGCACAGAAAGTCGGAGAACGGCAGCGCAGGCTCGGAGTGTAACGGGAGCCCGCTGCTGTCGGAGGAGGTGCTGCAGGAGGTCAGAGGAGACCTGCAGCTGCACCTGTGTCTCTCTGTGCTCTTCACGGTCCCAGTCGTGCTCAGCGCCCCCTCCCTGCTGCACTGGCTGCGCAACATGAGGTACCCCACCCACTTTCAACTGTCATTATCCTCAATCTGTTCATTTAAAACTGGTGTACCTAACTTTCAAACCACAGCCACTCTCTGAGCCAAAGTCCAAATGTACTTAAAGATGCAGTCAGTGATTTTTTTTCCAGACGCATTTTTCTAAAGATTGTGGGAAAAAGTCCCTAAACCCTAAAAGTAGTCAAGTTTATTATGTGTTTTCAAATAGTGATGGAATTTACCAGATGACTATAGTCTAGTCTATAAAATTTATAAAAAATATTTTGGAGCGGACCGATAAAAATGAATTGATGGGATTTGTTCATCCCCAACGAACCAATGGGATGCGTTTACTGCCTTCACCCTCTTCCTGTTTCTCGTGAGTGCACTTGAGTTATTGATTTTCTAAAACCTAAAAGGGCTGAACAGAAAATGCCAATTTAATTTCACGTTTGCCACCCACTCTCCCTGTTGTGACAAAGAAAAGAAAATGCTGGATGTTTGGTTTGGTGGAGAGGCGACGAGAGGGGCAGAGTGGTTTCCAGTTGGTGCTACGGCTATGCTAACAAAATCGCTTACAGCACCTTTTAAAATAAATGTAGAAAAATGTGAGCAACTTTTTGCAGTGTTTTGCTAGTGGATAAATGAGTTGGATGCATTCTCTCACATAGCTTTAAGCTTGGTATGAAAGTTGGATAACTCCTGATAACGATGCTTGTGTACGTCTGCAGGTATAGCACTCAGCTCGACCCTGACCCCTGCTGGCCTCACCACGTGCCTCTCATCATCTGCTACCTGCTGCTAATCAACTGCAACACAGACACGTTGGGCAAAAGGTACGACCGATGTGCACACTTTTAACAATTTCACCCAATTATTATAATTTTTTTTTTAACACATGCTCTCGTTTGCTTTTTGTAGTAAAGTGTTGCGTGTGGCCTCCTGGCTCCCTCTGCCCTTGTCTGTGGCCATGCTGAGTTTCTCCGCTCTGCACCTGTACAGAATCTCCTACTTCCTGTTGGCGGCGCTCGTGCCCATGGCCTTGTGTTGTCTCCTTTGACGGTACAGCGATGCCACACCATGAAAAGCCTTTTCTCTCCAACCGACAAACTCATTACTGCTGGTGTCCAACGACCGAGGGCCAACAGGTCGCGTTCACTGTGGGGGAAAAAAAAAAATTGTTGGTTTGAATTTGATATGACAAGGTAAACTCCAGGGGTTTATCTACGACTAGGGCTTAAAACCAGTCCTCAAAGAGTCTTGGTGGCTGCAGGTCTTCATTCCAACCAAGCAGGAGCACAGCAGACGTCACCCATTTCCTCAAGTGAGTCCAGTCTTGACCTGGAGACTCCATATCTGTCTCTATTGCTGTTTTATGTCTCCTTTTTTCTCTCTCTCTTTTTCTGTGTATCTCTTTTGCTCTTTATCTCGCTCTATTGAGAATTTATTTTATTGCTTTGAACAAGGTCAGGGGTTTACAGGCTGTGCTCCTGCTTGGTTGGAATGAAGACCTGTAGCCACACCGGCCGTTTATGGAACCAGTTTGACAGCCCTGGTCTACGGCCTTTGACTTAGGAATGGATGATGTTGATAAAACAGAAAACTTGATACAGGTAAAACTTGGTGAAAGTACATTTACTTCTGTAATTCAGCTTTTACTGTGAAACTAATCAATGATAGCGACTCAATACTCATGCTACAAATACAGCTGGGATCTCCAGCATTTTTTCCATTGGAGAACTACTTTTATAAAACAGAGAGCGACTCCTTTAGCAGTCGTAATACACTTGTAGTTTATTTAATTATAACATCAAATCATGCAGAACACAAAAACCTCTACACTTCACTGGATCCCTGCATTAAAGAAAAGATTTATAGTTATTTATAGTTAAAGACAGATCTAGTGATTTAAAAGTTAATCTTTCAGGATCATGTTGACTTAGCAGCCCCCGAGCCACAGGTTGGAGACCCCTGAGATATACTGTGACTTATACCAAGCCTCTATTTGTTATAATGTTCATTATTGGCTCACAGTAAAAAACATCTCAGTTAGAAAAAATACAGTAAAATGAGAAAATGTTCTTATTTCTGTGATTAAGAGTCATTGTTTGACACTCATATTTAAATGCATATGTAATGAGTCTATCATATTTTAGCTAGAACCCATAAGAGATGTAATTTTATAGAAGAAAAACAAAGGGTGAGACCCAAGGCTCTCTCTCTCCTTTATTATTGTGGGGACATATTGGAAGATTTTTCGTCATCAAGAACCTCTCACCACAAGTTCATCTTTGGACTTGGAGTAATTTACTTCAAAATCATTAAAGCAACAGTCGTTTGAATGTATTGGCCTCTTGTGAACGCCCCCTATTGGCCACGGCTGGCATCAGACAGAGCCACAGACTTACAGCAGTGATCTTGCTCCAATCAGCACCAAATGTCTCCAGCCTTCTCTCTATGTTTTAATAGGACAAATGTGGGGTTGGATTCTGCCTTACAGCTGTGTGTGTGTGTGTGTGTATGTGTGTGTCTGCTGTGGCTCTGTCTGAGGACACAGATGGAGGTCACTGTTATAAGAATGTGTGGACTGTGACTCGGTTCATTGCTGTAAAAACTCACACTGCCAACAGCTTAGTGAAGACTGATGTCTGTACTGCTGACTGTTTCTTTCAATATTCAAGAGTAATATTTATTCCACACCACAGGAGTCAAAAGGAGAAAGCATAGTTACGTCTGAGTTTTATGTTCAGGGGAAAGCGGATTGGTTCATACACTGTGGAAAAAGACCTTTCTCACTGTTTGAAGTAAGTTTTCTCTCTCGCTCTCTGTCTGTCTCTCTCTCTCTGAGTGTCTCTCTCTCTCTTATGCGTGTGTCTCTCTGTCTCGCTCTTTGTCTGTCTCTAGTCTCTGTCTCACGTTAAGTTTCTGTATTGAGAATTTCTTATATTGCTTTGAACAAGGTCAAGGCTTTACATGCATTCCTTCCACAAGGTTCTCGCCAAGTTCTGCTAGAATTCTGGCCCATTCCTCCTCATATAAGCGGTATAACTGAGTCATGTTTGTTTGTCACCTTCCTCACTCGCTCACGCCTTTTTGAGATCTGCATTAGTGTCATGGGATTGAGTACGTTTACAAAGCCCCAGTGAAAACCAGAGAAATCATGTATTTAGCTCCTGGGTTTCCACGAGTCTTGCTCAATCTGATACCGAGCAGTGAAGAACCAGTTTGGATCTGGATCGAACCATTTCCACTCCATGTAAGCTGACGTGTAACAGCCGGATTCTACTGAGAGACGACCAGCAGATCCGTGTAAGAGCGCAAGGAACAGACTCTTTGGGCACCAATAGAACACTCATAAAACACACATTTTGATAATTGGGAAAGGGGAAGGGGAACTGTACTTTATCACTTGTTTTCTTTGGTTTCTTCACATGAGGCAAAAGAAGGAAATACGGTCTGAAAAAAATATCTGACCTGAAACCAGAGAACTTTTGCCCAGATTTCAATCAAGGATGAGAAAAATTTGCTTTTTTTGCAACAGTGCGTGTGAACTTGAAAGTATATGTGTGCATTAGATTAAATTATTGAGCACTTGAGGTTTAAAATAAAGGGAAATGTACTAGTTCTAAACACGGCTACAAGCTGCTAATCTTCCTTCTGTAAGAACAGTAATATACTTAGTGTCCCCTGTCTCACACTTCTCCTGAGGGCAGCCTTAAAGTAGTGGCTGTGTTTTGAACTAGGGCGGCTGCATTCAAACTCATGCAGTTAAACCAAAACCCAGATTTAAGTATTTTTTTCTCGATTTCTGCCTTTTTTTCTCAACGTTACTCCTACTGGATTTGCAAATAAAAGTCGTCGTATTGTGTCTCTGCTGCTGTGAACGCCGCCGACTCTTGAGTTTGTCTATTTGTTTACTCGGGACCAACAACATCTTCTCTTTGGATGTTTTTTTTTGTTGTACTTTGTCTAAACTCCAATGAAACGGTGTGTTCTTCTTGGTAACCGGTAAACGTGAAGCTTTCGTGCACTTGTGGCTAGTGCAGTAGAACAAATGTTTTTTCTAGAGCTGTTAATGTATTTTATAAAATGTTCACTGTGATTACATTTATTACTGATTTTGTTTTTCTTTCTCCGTTTGCCAAATGTTGTTGCAGCTCAAGCGACGTTTCGAGCTCCTCTCGTTGCAGTTACGATTTTAAAGGTGTATTTATGGAGTTGTTTTTCTTTCTGGTGAAGAGATTTACCACCTGCTTTTATCAAGATGCCTGGAATGTTTAAGCGTATGGTCTTTCTCGCAATAAAACTAAAATTATAGAAACCTATTCTGTCCGTGCGGGTGCAACCGGAGCACCCAGAGGAAACCTACAGTGACCTTGACCCGTAAAATGCGCTATATAAATAAACACTACTTATTTACTCTTACTGTGATGAGAAATTGCCTTCTCTCAGATCAAATACATAACTATATATAATCCAAAACTATATAATGACACATCCTGAGAATATTACACCAAAAACACAGCTGTTTTCGGATTTAAATTTTTGTGTCGTTGTGTAAAGCCAGCAGTTCTATCAGAAGTTGTCAATTCACCATCAACAGATCAGATAATTGGTTCAAACGCAGGAAATGCAATAATAACAAACGCTGAGCAGCCAGACGACCATAAATGCAGAAAAAAAAATAGACTGTGCCATGTTGGATTCGAGTGTAAAAAATATAGCTGAATGTAATGCACCACTGCTGCCACCAGATGACAGTGTTGGCACCTGGTAACGTCATGTCTATCCATATATTATATAAGATTTTTTTACCTCATTCTAAAAAGCACAATTTCAAAGTAAATTATCTCGTGTGTAAAAGTCTAAAATTATGTCAAATAATGTGTAATATTTATTCTTTATTTACTGATATGCTGTGTGATATTCAATTCACTGACAACATTACAGAGAATTTGTTAAAATACAGGAAAAGCAATAATAACAAACACATATAAACAAAAATATTTCCTCAACTTTACAGCCGCAAGCCTTAAATAGAGTAGAATGTAATGCACCACTTCTGCCACTAGATGACAGTGTTGGCACCACCTAGTCGTCACAATTTTACTTTTTTAATTTAATTTTTTTACTCAAATTCTAAAACACAAACCCAAGAATATTTACTTTGAAATTGTGTAAGGCCGAACTTCTTTCAACGCAATGCTGTGTGACGTTCCAAGTAAAAACAATAACATCTCTTGGAAATGCAGGTGGTCGACCCTTTAGTTACAACGTGTCTTTGAAGTGCTTTTCTTTTGCCTTTGTTTTCCCTGACGCTGCCCTTTTTTTGAGGCTTCTGTCTGGTTTATTATTGTAGTTGTTCACTGGATAATTCTCTGTAAAAACACTTCTTGTACTTTTTGGTGGAGACTGAACTTCTGCGACTGTAACGGACCGTGGAAACATTTGCTGTTTTGGAATATTCTTTTATGAAGCGACTCTAAAGAGCGCGTCACCCTCAGGTTTCTGCTTTTGCAAAGTTTCCCAATTGTTATTTTGAAATGTTTTTTTTTTTAATCTGATGTCGCTGTCAATCAGTCACATGTGCAATTTTTGGCACTGATGTTGTTGGAATAAAATATATATAAAAACACATTTTTAAGTGGGATTTTTTTTTTATCTTGCCACGAGAGATGTTAATGTATCAAATGTTAATGTAGTTGATGTTGCTTTGTCAGATCATTTCTGTGTATTTTTTGACATGTGTTTTGCTAGCAAACCACCAGCTGAATTTACAACTGTTAGAAGAAGACACATACATGAAAACACAAGTGAACTGTTCATGGGAATGCTAAATTTTGAGAACTCCATGCTCTACTGTTGATGAATTGTATAACTCTGTCACCACCAGTGTTCTGACTGTTCTGGACGCCATTGCTCCTGTGACGGTTAAAATAGTTACCAGTAAGAAAAAGGCCCCATGGACTAAGGCAGACTCGGTTAGGGCACAGAAGCAAGAGTGCCGGAGGGCCGAACGGAAGTGGCGAAAGTCCAATTTCCAGGGCGATTATGAAATCT